AGGGAAAAAAGACCCTAACTAGTTTTGAGCTTCCACATTGAGCGCCGCTATTTTTATTTTTTCATGTTTCTAAAGACAGATGGTGGAAACGGTGGACTTTTCCAGCTTCAGGTCCGGTGTTGTTACCGGGACAGTGATGGGAGTCATCTGGGCCTGGATCCCTGAGTGCTTTGCTCTTTTAGTCCCGTTATGTCATGAGCTTAACTAGGAAGACCCGTGAAGACGCCAAACACAATGAAAGTACATAAAAAACGTCTTTATTTTTGGTGGAGTTACCAGGTGGGCGAGGCTGGAGACAGAGTAGGAGAGGAGGCGAGGGTCAAAGCCAGATAGATCCGTGAATGCTACAATGAGCAGGCAGGAGGCAGAATCCAGAGAATGGGCTGAGGTCGAGAATCCAGGTAGTCAGAGAAAACAATCCAGGAAGGGAGCAGGCACTTGGGTTGGTCAAGGAACAGAAACGAGGTCAGGATCTATGGTACAGGCAGAGGTTGGAGTGCTGGAGAATTTACTGGCGCGAAGTCTTCAATAATCTGGCAGAGACTGGATAGCAGGATGGTTCTTTTGTAGCAGGGGAAGCAGGTGTGTGAGATGAGCTGAGGAGTCAGGAGCAGGTGAAGTGGATGAAGCTGATGACAGGAACAGGTGAGAAGAATGGAGTTGATTGTGGTTGCCAGGGAAACGGGGCTTGTCAGGAGCTTGGTGAAGGGGCCAGGTGAGCTGAATGACGGTGAAATGAGGAGACAGAGGAGGGTGAAGGATGGGAGTCATGACACGTTAGGCTGTATAGTACCACAGAACATGGAGGAGGTCTTGCTTCGTGAGTGACCTTTATCAGTTTGATCCAAATTTTAAAAGTACTTTCTGGTTGCTGGGTAAAAACCTTCTTTCTCCACTTTTCACCTCTTCCATGTGTTTGTGTGAATCATCTCCAATGGTCTTCCTTCAACGCACATCCTTAGGCCCTGTCCACACGTAGCCGGGGATCTGCCAAAACGTAGATATTTTACTACGTTTTGGCCTGTCATCCACACGAAAACGGAGTTTTTTCACACGAAAACGGATCTTTTTAAAAACTCCGGCCAAAGTGAAGATCTGCGTTTTCTCCGTTTTGGGTGTCTGCGTGTGGACAGACAAAATCGGAGTTTTAAGGTCCGCAACGTCACTTTCCGTGACAAAAAAATGCTGACATCACGTGTGCGACCTGTGTTTACACTAGCCGACAGCATGGACGCCCTCAGAGCTGCGCTCGCTTTATCAATCGTCCAAGCGCTTTCTGCTTGTTTGTTTTTGCAAGTGGAATTACTGCTCCTTGCGGAAGACCACAGACGAAGGACGAGGTTAAGAACGGGGGAAGTACTGCCACCTACAGGTCTGGCATGTCCTTAACAACGTATTTATCCGGGTACGTGTGGACAGAGTTTTTTTTAAACGAGGTGGTGTGGATGCAAGTTTTTGGAGGGGCGGATGTTCGTTTTTAAAAAATAACCCGGCTATGTGTGGACTAGGCCTTAGTCTACTGGACGAATATCCAATCAAAAGCATAAAAATAAATGGTCATGGTAAATAGCCTGTATTTATATAGCACCTTCCAGAGTCCTAAAACCCCCCAAGGCTCTTTATAACACTTCATTCAGCAGTTCACACACATATTCTCACACGTCATTTGCTTTCTGATTCTATTTTCACTGAGAATTCTGACACAAGGTTATCTTCCTTCTTAAATAAACAATTTCAACAATCAATACACACCGGAAAATGAATGATCTTTACTTTTCTGTTCAATGATGTGAAACTAACCAAATATAAACTCTGATAAAGTTTGAATTTCAACCTCCAGAGACACTCTGCCCCTGAAAAAGTCGTTTTATTCTCTGCCAAGTGAGCTAATTATGGGGTTCTGCTGATCACAAATGATTTGGTGAAATAAAGAGACATCAAACAAGAGCTCCGGCCACAGGAGGTGAAAATCAAGAAGATGCCTTTTAACTACCTAAAACAATCTATTGTCTGTGAAAAGTGGTGTCTTTAGGACAGCCACAAGTCCCTCGAAGGAATATACATCATCCACCGCCTTTCATGGTAGACCGACCAGATAGAATAGAATAGAATAGAATAGAATAGAATAATCTGGCAGGATAATAATAATAATAATAATAATGCATTGAACTTATATAGCACTTTTCAAGACACCCAAAGATGCTTTCACACACTCTCACATTCACACACTGCTAGTGATGATAAGCTACTTGTAGCCACAGCCGCCCTGGGGAGGTCTGACAGAGGCGAGGCTGCCATTTGGCGCCGGCGGCCCCTCTGACCACCACCAACACAGGCAAGTTGGGTGAAGTGTCTTGCCCAAGGACACAACAGCAGGATTCCCCTGACGGGAGCTGCAACCCATGACCTTCCGATCATGAGGCAACCCGCTCTACCACCTGAGCTACTGCTGCTGACCAAAGCCCATTGTTCATGTCTGGGTCATTTATAAAAGATAGTGTTATTATGGTTTAGTATACGCAGGACAGTTTCTTTGTCAGGAAAATGGCTGTCCAGGTTTTTCCAGGCATCCAGGTGGTGTATTTGCACCATCAACATGTTTGTATTGAGTTGAGCTGCAGAGCCCTCAGTGCTCCTGTGACGATAAACCTTTTATGTTGGGTGAACAACCTTCAGAAAAAGCGATTGTGGGAGTTTATTAGAAGTACATTTAGGGAGACACAAAGCAGAAATGTCTCATTTTTACTCTTTCAGATTTTTTTCACATGTGGAAGGAAATGAGCCTGGGGTCCTCATCATTAAAAAACTATGGAGGAAGAGGTAACGCACCCCTTTAATATAATGAATACAGTGATCACAATTAGTGATGTAAATTATTGGTCATTCTTATGGATTTTTATTTATGTATTTATTTATATTTTTTCAGATTTTTGGAGCTTTCCTGTCAACCAATGTGGCAGAAAGAAGAAATCATGACTCTCGAGGACTTGTGTTTAACTGCTTCTGCATGAGAAACTGCACTTTGAACTTTTGTTCGGTGTACCCGAGTTTCCCTCCTCATCAGCAGGCAACCTGCATAAGCTGCACTATGTCGTCCCCCCCCCCCCCCCTCCCCACCCACCCCCCCAGTTACAACACTTTGGTTTTGTTCCATTTCTGCATTCCTCAAAGCTATGTTCATCTCCACATCTTGGGCGTCTCTTCCGTCCTTCACACACATTTGCCGTATGTCCAAATCTCTGACAGTTGAAGCATCTAATCGGTGTCTGAATGTACTCCCTCACTGCGTATGACATGCAGCCTAAAAACACTCTATACGGTAGAACGTCACCCTGAAATTCAGTCAGCACTGAATCCTTTTCTTTCTTTGATCCATCTCGAATTTCTTTAATCTTTTAGCATCTTTCACTTTTGCTCCGTTTAAAATGGCTTTTATTTCCCCAACTGAAACATCCACCGGTATTCCCCGAATCACTCCTCTAGGTCCCATTCCACTCATTCCCACCTTACTCACACGGATTACTTTTTGTTTTCCCACCTCTCTTATTTTACAGGCCTTCTCTCTCTGATCTTCAGTTTTACAAACGATCAGCAAATTTCCATCTCAAAACTTTAGCTAGTTTAATGTCTCCAACTTGATTTTTTAAAGATAGACGAAAGCTTAACTGGGTTCATCCCATTTCCCTCACTGAACCTCAACATGATTTTGAGTCCTCCTCCTTCTTCATCTGCACTTTCAGTCGACACAACCCTTCTTTGTTTCCTAGGACCATCGCCATCAGAGTTGTTACTTCTCTTTCCCTTCATCGACTCCCGCCCAAAACTCAACTCTAAATTACTTTCTTCGCTCCCACAGTCCCCCATGTCTCCCCACTCCTTCTCATTCACCAAATAGTTGCGCTACCCGCCATTGTTTTCCTCTCGACCAAGGTCTTCGCTCTCTCTGGGCAGCGGCTTCTGTAGCTCATCCACCTCTAGAGCCACCCCGGCCCCCAGCCAACGCCTAGCAAAACCGACCGACCCAAAGGCGAGGTGATGTCGTCGACCTGCTCCTGTTGTACACCAGCTGGTAGATGACAGATTGGCTGCAGCTGCCCGCTCCTCAGTGCCACTCACCGGCAATTAAAGCTTGGTTTATGCTTGACGCATTTACTTTCCGCTTGGTGATGCGGCTCGCAGATGGAACGCGCTTCACAGCTAGCAGCGTTTATGGTTCATGCGGCTTGTCTCTGCGGTGAGCCAATATTCTCCCAAACTGTAGGGGGCAGCATGGAGCTCTACAGCATGCATCCAACACTACAGCATAGTAGAAGTAGAAATGACTGTTTACAACATGGCATTCCAGCATTTTTAACAGCGTCCTCGTCTTTTCCGACAATGCGAGCTATTTCTCTCCAAGAATTATTAACAACATGTTGATCACGGTGATCTCTGAGAGCTGAATCATACAAATGTTTGTATTTACGAACCTCTGCCATACTAGTTCTTGCCGGTCCGCCATGTTTTTCCACGTCCGACCGGCCGCGTGGTTAGAAAATTTCCTAGGTGCGCGTTGCGGAAATTTTGGGCCGTGCGGAGGCGCGGTGGAGGGGCGTGGTTGTTAAAATGACGCAAAATGACCTAACTTTTCCGCGCGGAGCCGTGCGGACCTCGCGGACGCGTCAAGCATAAACCAACCTTAAGCACTCAGAGGTCATGAATGAACCACTCACCTTCAGACCATGGCACTGGCCTTATATAGAGTTTCTATTTCTCCAAACTAAGGCCATTCAAACAGTTACTACAGTACATTTTCAAAGTACCACACTTTAAAGTATTAACTACTTTAGAGACACATGTTGCATTCTAGTATTATTTGAAGTATAGGATGTTATGTATTTATCAGAAGTTGGGGATTTAGCTCTAATTTTCTAACAAAAAAGTAATAAAGCAATGAGCAATTGTTACTACAGTAGAACATGTCATTATTTAATGTACGAGCAGAAAATAATCACAAAGGGGAAGTTCTAATTTACATGGCGTCTCGAACGCATCACTAAAAGGACGCTTCCAGGGTAAGCTAAGCTGTGGGTAACTCGGCTAGCTGTTACCATTTCCATCCCGCTTCTTCTCTTGTGGAAGCGCTTTGATTTAAATCGCTGGCAAAAGGAAATGTAACGACATTTAAGGATTTATCTGTGAGGTGAGACTCGAGTCTGTGTGCTGCGTTGCTTCAGCAAACACGTCAACATTAGCTTTAGCGAAAGTAGCTAACAGATATGATGTAGCTCGCGCTGTGTGTTAGCTGGGGTCTCACATGCTAAAACATGCAGATCGGCTACGAAGTGTTTTTTTAATAGGATAGCCTCGTGTCTAATGCACGGAGTGAGTTTAGTTCTGCACGTCCAGGAGCTAATCTGATGTCTAAACTCTGGCCCAAATGTCTGCACACAGTTCAACATGGCTGCACGTCCAACCCACAAAGATAAGTGTTACCTGCAGGCAGAAAAGGCTGGCAGCTCCTGACTGTGTGTTTTTCCAGTGGTTAGATTATTAAAATTGCTATAAACAGTCACATTCTTAAACGATAAGTACTTCAGAATGAAAAAACGAGTCTATATAAAGCAGTCTGAACTATTTAAAGGAGGAGTCTCCAGTCCTGGCCACCATCTAGCATGTTTTAGTTATTTCTCTGCTCCACCACACCTGAATCAATTCAATTCAAAACTACTTTATTAATCCCAGAGGGAAATTGATTGCTGTAGTAGCTCAGAATAATAATAATAATCAAGTCATCAAAGAGTTGTTGTATATTACAATGGCTGTTGGCAGGAAGGATCTCCAGTAGCGGTCAGTGTTGCAGCCAAACTGAAGAAGCCTCTGACTGAAGACACTCTTCCGTTGTCGGACAGTCTTGTGAAGAGAACGCTCAGGGTTGTCCATCATTTTCTTGATTCTCTGGAGAATCATTCTTTGCATTATCTCCTCCAGCGGTTCCAAAACTGCCGAAACTCTGGTCCTCGAAAGGGCTTGGAGTTCCTCCATCTTGTTGGCCAGTGATCTCACATCGCCCATTATGATCGATGGAAGAGATGGTTTGAATTTCCTCTTTCTCTGTCTCCGTTTTGCTCCCGCTCTGCACCCACGCTTCTTGCGTTTTAGCTCATGTGGGATTTGTGGCTTCAGTTGAGGTATTATTTCAGCCTTTCCAATGTTAATCAGCTGCCCCCGATTGTAAACCAGCTTGTTGCCATGGTTACACATAACAAATGCTCAAAAAGTGAAAAAGCTAAAAAAAATAGCAGTAAAAATCCTCCAAGCTTCACAGCACCAGAAACAGAAAAGTAAAGTGTCCAAAAAATACAGTTTTTCTTGAGAAACTAGAAGAAAAACTGCCAAAGAAAAGGCTAAACTTACATATAGTCAACAGGGCTACTCCAACATGCAGCCGCCCAGAGCAGCGCAGTTCCGGGAAAAAAAGCAAGAACCATCCAGCATGTTTTAGTTATTTCTCTGCTCCACCACACCTGATTCAGTGACTGAATCACCAGTTCAGCAGCTCATCAAGCTCTGCAGAAGCCCGTGAATCACCCATGTGTGTTAAACTTAACTCTAAAGATTAGATTAAAAGCTCTGTCCAGTTAACGTGTATGTTTGGTCCAGATGCTGTGTAAGATTTGTTGAAGCAAATAGAACTCTTACTATTTAGTCGTTTCTGTGCTCCAACGCGACATGATTTATCAGCAGGCGATTGGCTGGCTTCTGCAAAGCTTGACGAGCTGCTGAACAGGTGATTCTGCCATTGAATCAGGTGTGGTGGATCAGAGGTACCACTAAAACATGCTGAATGGTGGCTCACCAACACCAGGGCTGGACACCCCCATTTTTAAGGGATGGTTCAGAACTTTTAAGGATTTAATATCCAAACCGTTATAGGTAATCAGATTAGTTCTGGTCGGTCGTATGAGATAGTATTTGATCCCAATGGAGATAGTTCCAAACAACGCAAAAAACAACACAAAGGTTTTCTTTGAACATGTTTTTATTGTGATGCTATCATCAGTTCCACACGATTTGATTATTCAGTCCAATTCTGATCGTGTTAGAGGTCTTCCACTGATCTCAGAATATAACTAGCATGGAATTTAAATCACTGTGGTTGGCTAAACTTAGGGAGAGTGTTTATTTGTGTAAACCGGCTAAGGAACTTGTGAGTTTAAAGCTTTTAAATGTGAGAAATCCACGTTCTGCTGTCATTGGGATTTTGTGTTTGCAAAGTCCTTTAGATTCAAGAGGAAAATACGAAATATTGTTGGGGCCGTAAACGAGAGTGTGAGCTACATATGTCCACAAAAAATGTCTTTAGCATATATTTTGTTGCTGACCTTTGATCTTAGTCAAAGATCCGGCATTGGTGTCTTTTATGTGTGTTTCAACAGGCTGCAGCCATGGGCCCAGAGGACCTAGCAGACATAAAGACTGAGCCTTCAGAGGAAAGTACGCAAAGACTGGAATAGATGTCTTCTTATAATATAATAATAATAATACTACTACTAGGGTCGTGTATGAGCAAAACTCTGGTGATGGCATATCTACAACTATACTAGCGAGACGATATGTTGTGATGCTAACAGTTAGACTCTATTTCTAGTTTCTAAGACGGAAGGTAATTGGAAAACTCAGGCCAGATGCTTCGAAGGCAGTAAAAACTGCTGCCTCCTAGCAGTTGGAGTTTGAATTGCACCATTCTAAAGTAACCAAATTCCACTACCTCCGCTCCGCTCCGGCACGAACGCCGGAGCAAAATCGGTCCCGTTGTAGTCAATCAGAGCAATTCCACTACTGCGGCCGTGCTCCGGCCGTGCGGCGCAGTGCGCCGCCCTCTGTTCCGGCGTCCGGCAAAAATAGAATCGATCCTATTTTTGCCTGACGCCGGAGCACCTCCGCAGTCAATGGACAGGAATCACAACGGCCCAACAGGAAAAGGAGCAAGCACAGCTTCCGTTTTTCACAATAAATCGATAAACAAAAAGCGTTTTTTGTTTCATATGTACAGGTTTAACAACTTTTAACGACTAGCAATGGCGGCTGAAGTTTAAATGCACAAAAGTAAGCCATAAATACAGTTTCTACTATCAAAGTAGTCACACTTTGTTGATCCAAACACTGCTGATCTCTCAACACAAATGATGGGCAGATTAAACAGTTCATGCCGATGCTTCTCCCACACAACGGGTGTTTGGATCTAACTTCCGCGTTTATTGCTCGGACTGTATCGCAAGATCTCGAAAATCCCGCGCATGCTTGTTTGCCCACTTCAGGTCTCCGCACCGGAGTGGAGCCGTTGTAGAGCGGGTACCAGTATAATTTGAGTTCGGAAGCGAGCGGCTGCGGAAGGCGGGGGCGGCGCGGAGGTAGTGGAGTTTGGGGGTAATACAGTAAATGTCTGCATGTCAGTACTCAATAAAACACCGGTGTGCAACTTTTAAATGTTGATTCTGTACCAGAACATATTGTGATATTTGGGCGTATCGATGTTAGTCCTTAATGGTACAGTAATCCCTCGCTACTTCGCGGTTCGTTCATCGCGGATTCGCTGCTTCGCGGATTTTTTCTTTGGAGCATTTTTCTGGGGGAATTTGCAGATTCGCGGTATTTTTCACTGACTTGCGGTATTTTTCTATGCGAAATATCAAGAAATTCTTGTTTTTTTCATCAATTTCATCATAAAATGCACTTTTTGTAATAAAACTAAAAAAACCAAGTAAAAATTTTTTTCTTGAGTTTTACCCACAAAAAGAGAATGTGATCATACGATAATTCAATCTAGTACTGTAGGTCGGCTGGATTCGGGAGCTGGGCTTGTAGGGAGCGTGGTTTCACAAACGCGGAAGTGAGAGCGTCGGTGAAACGCCGGCTGATCTAGGAAACCCCCGAGCGTTCCAGCGTCAACGAAGTGACACGGAAATGCCGGGCTTTCCAGAAGTAAGTAAGATAACTTACTATGAGCTGATAGTTTGTTGGATTGATCGGTAGGTTGGAAACTCTGATCTTGAATCTGAAGAAACGATGACTGAGTGGTGAGCTGGAAAGGCGACTTCCGTTTATAGCCGCGGTTTGTGACGTAGGTGCGACGTGGAGGGAATCCCCGCGAGGGGCATGCTGGGAGTCCCTACTTCGCGGATTTTCACCTATCGCGGCCAGGTCTGGAACGCATCTACCGCGATAAACGAGGGATTGCTGCATATCTGATGTAGGGTACCTGTTAAAACCCGAGGTCATGTTCTAAGGTTTAGGCATGCTGATTATTTACTTTCCAGTCAGTGAAAAGATTGTTGGGCTGTTTTCTAGCTGGATATTAGTTATCATGTAATCTAATTACTGGTAAAATTACTTTTCATCTGATTACTTCTGACACAAGCCGTGTCTGTTTCTGGAATGTCGACTCAGAGCTCATTTCTGTTTTACAGATTTGAGTGTTGCTGAGGTGAACGTAGATCTGGAGTCTGGTTCCAGTGATTCCTCCACCGACTCTGAGCCCGAGGACTCCAGTCGGCCAAAGAAGAAAAAATCCGACAAGTGTTTCCCGTGTCCCACCTGCGGCAAGGTGTTCGACAGGCCGTCGAGGGTAGAGAGGCACAAACCGGTCCACGAGAGGAAGCCCAAGCTGCTCTATCACTGCGAGCACTGTGAGAAGAGCTTCACCCAACAAGAGAAGCTGATCCGACACCAGAATTTCCACAACAGGACTAACGAGCATCCCTGTCCCGACTGTGGAAAAGTGTTCAACAGGCCCTCGAGGTTAGAGAGACACAGACGCACTCATTCAAGGAAACCCAAGGTGCCTCACCAGTGTTCCTTCTGCGCGAAGACATTTGTGAAGCATCACAAGCTTCTCCGTCATGAGCGAGTTCACACCGGGGAGCGGCCGTTCACCTGTCCGGTGTGTGGCAAGGGATTCTCCGAAGCGGGTCACTGCAAAGCTCACGAACGGACCCACGAAGAGCAGCCGGAGAAGCCTCACAGCTGCTCCGTCTGTGGAATGTGTTTCTTTAAGGCCTCCGCGCTGCGCCGCCACTTCCGCTCCCACACGGGGGACAAACCTTTCAGGTGCACCGTCTGCGACAGGTCCTACTCCCGCTCCGAGGGACTGAAGAGACACACGAGGAGCCACACGGGGGAGCGACCCTTCAAGTGCACCATCTGCAGCAAAGCCTTTTATTCTCGCCACTGCTTGAACACTCACAGCCTCATCCACTCCGGCGAGAAGCCACACGTTTGCTCCGTGTGCGGGAAGGGCTTCTCGCAGCTGGGCAACATGAGGGATCACGAACAGAACGTCCATAAAAGAACAGAGAAGTACATTTGCAATGAGTGTGGGGCGACGTTCACGCGGTACAAGACGATGACGGAGCATCAGCGCACTCACACGGGGGAGAAACCGTACTCGTGCCTCACCTGTGGGCGCAGGTTCACCTGGAGCCACTCGCTCAGCAGACACCGAAGGTCACACGCGCACGAACAGATGGTCCTGGAAAGCTCTAAAAACCTGGAGAGTTTTGAAGGTACTCCTGAGAATCTGGACAGCTGAAAGGCCGAGAGGTTTTAAAGACGATGCGTATTCTAGTGCATGCACTCACCTGCTCCGTCAGCAGAAATGCTGTTTTTATTAAACGTTTAATCATGATTTAATCACGGATAAAAAATAATGGTTGGTGGGTAGAGTTCAGCTGGAACTCATAAAATGGTGGTTAGCTGTCTTCAAAGCCCCGTGACACATTCAGCCTGTCTGTGTGTATTGTCCAACGTGCAGCCAAGCCAGGACGCTGTGTGGTCCAGTTATTCTCACACGGTCAATCATTTCTTCTCACATCTTTGGTTTGTGATGATTCACTAGTTGCTCAACATGAAGACATCCTGGACAAAAATCAGCCTTTTAATTGCACCTTTAATTTGAACCAGCGTGTGCTTGAGCAGGTTTCCAGCTGGGGGTGAGGTGACATTAAAAAGAGCTAGTTACAGATTCTCCTCGTTGTTGTTTCTGATGTAAATGGTCTGTATTTGATATAGCGCCTTCTAGAGTCCTGGAACCCCCCAAGGCGCTTTACAACACAGTCATTCACCCATTCACACACACATTCACACCCTGGTGGGGATGAGCTACAGTGTAGCCACAGCTGCCCTGGGGCGCACTGACAGAGGCGAGGCTGCCGAGCACTGGCGCCACCGGTCCCTCCGACCACCACCAGCAGGCAACGTGGGTTAAGTGTCTTGCCCAAGGACAGCGACAGACTGAGCGGGGCTCGAACCTGCAACCTTCCGATTGCAAGGTGAGCACTTAACTCCTGTGCCACCGTCGCCCCGGTGATGAAGCACCTGCTGTTCTCAAATGCAAATGTGCATAGCTGCTGTGTTTCTAGCACGTAAAAACGAGAGAACCTCCTGAAGATGTCGGGTGTACTTCTTTTTCTTTTCTTAACTTTTCACATTTCACGCTAAACAGCCATACGGATTAAGTTTTCCTAGATTAGATCAAAAGTATTCCGTGTTTCATGGCAGTATTCATAAGCTACAACAACCGCAGTAGGAACATCTCAAACAGCCACAGATGGTGAACATGATCACTGATGAGTTACTAGTGTGGAAGACTTGCTACCAAATAAAAATAAATAAATAAACGTGGGGAATAAAAGGATATATTTAAGTCCTTATTTGTTTATTTTAAATTGTATTTCCACGTTTATTGTTTACTTTGGCAGAAAAAGTCCTCCATATTCTAGAGAAAGAAACAAATATCTGTCTCACTTTTCTGCACTTTATGGTGAGATATTTTAAACATGGTTTTAAAAGCTTATGTCAATTTCACTTTTCCTAAATATGTGAATAATAAACAGTTTCATATCAAAGCTGATGTAAGTAAACAAGCTCCTCTGCTCCGTATTTTTGACTTGTGTAGGGCTAAGCGTCATAGACAAACTTGCACAAGATAGATCAGCTCTGTTGTAATTATGCATTTAAAACTCCACACGTATCTGTCTACCTGCTTCTCTATGATAATTGGTGAATTCCGACAGCCCCTGAACGCGGCAAACAACGCTGCAGCGGCTGTTTCTAGGCAACCGTTTGTGTGTGACAGGAGTCAAACAGGCGTTAAACTGAGTGTTGTTGGCGGAAAACGGCTCGTTTGAAGCGTTTTTCAGAGACAGAGCTGCTCTAGTTCCTCCATGATGGCTGAAGAGGTTCAGGACGTCCCGCAGCTGCAGGTGGAGAACGTTCTCGGCTTCAGCGGTAAGTTTGACCCACGAGTTCATGTGTTCTTCTGAGAATATAAAAACCCACCTCTTCAGAACCAACATAACGTCTGTATGCTGCCCCCTTGTGGTGTAAGTACGAACGCCAGCTTGCAGAAGCTTAAAGAGCAAGTCACACCAAAATCAACGTTTTTTTTATTTTTTTTGCTGATAATTTGTACAAATAAGTGTGTTATAGTATTGTAGACGTGTAGTGGCAGAGGTGGAAAGAGTACTAAAATTTCCTACTTAAGTACGAGTACCAGTACTTTGATCATTTTTTACTCAAGTACAAGTAAAAGTACTTGTCTAAATTTTTACTCAATAGTAAAATGTATCGTAAATAACATGTACTCAAAGTAAAAGTTACTTAGTTACATTTTTGTCAGCGTAAAGATGGTTACGTCAGTGCAAAACCACAACACCAGTTCACATCACGCCCATGTGTGCGCTCACACACGGACACACACATAGTTTCATGGAAGGATTTCTATCCAATCAGTGAGAACAGGACGTGCACATTGATGGGACGAGGTTTTTCTAGGATTGTACATTTCAATTGTGATTAAAATTATTCTTTATTTTGAAAAAAAAGTTAATTTTTGATGCCATCAGTATGTGAGGTATCTCAATGTTCTCATGACAAAACTAACATGAGACTGTGCTCTAACCTGTCACATAACAAGCTAAATGAAAGTCAAACATTTCAAATGGACCGTATGACAGCTGCTAACGTTGGCCCTGCCCTACGTTACCTCTACATTACAGTTCCTTTATCCATGTCCACCTAGAGCTCCTCTCTGACCTTCATGCTTATTTAGAGCAGCTGATTTTTAAAGTTAGCAGAGTTCATCCTTGGTAGTGGGTTCACTCACTCATTTAAAGATAACGGCCAGAGGCAAAATTCGTTTGAACAGCATGTGTAAATGTGTATTAAAACCTTAGCTGATAAAGGTGTTTGGATTTTGACGGCTGGAATCGTAAGAAAATCTGATGTTTGTGACCGGCGAGGGAAAAACAGGAACTAACTTCCGGTCTAAGCTCTGGGCAGCTGGTGACGTTTCACATGGAGCTCTGCTGAAACAGCTGTAGTAAACAACACCTGACTCCGCCGTTTCTGCGTTAGCGTTATAGCAGAGAACAACGTGTCATCAATCAGATGTAGCTTCTGAAGCCTCTACTAGTTGGCCAGATTTGTTTTTTCTCTGGGATACGGCTACGAGAACGGATATTGGATTACCGGAGAAGTTCAACCGAACTCCGACCCCGCCAGCTGCATATCACTACCAGTGTCACTCTGAGCAGGAGGAGGTAGGACCCAAAACGCAGAAGCCCAGAATGACTCGAGGCAAGGGCAGTTGAAAAAAGGTAAAATCCTTTTATTAAGGTGGAAAACAAAATAACTTGGATGCAGGAATCAAATCCAAAAAACTGAAAGCCAAAAAAAAAAAAAAAAAAAACTCAACAATGAGCACAAAGACAAGAACCTGACGAGGGAACAAAACAACTCTGACTCACAACAATGAACCGACAAAGGACAACAGCAGAGAACGTCTCGGCTAGTAGGAGCTAACCGTTAGCATTAGCAGCTCCACCACACAGCAGGACTCCTCCAGGGTTGTATTTGTGGAGATAAAACATCTATGTTGCAAACTGAGTCAGTGGTAGAGTTGTATAGCTGTTATCCAATCAGAGGCGAGATGTACAAATATCAGGAAATAAGACTCCAAATCGTGTCGTCTGAAGCTCAGCTGTGATGTGGGTCACTTCTAGTTCCTGACAATGGTGAACTGGGATTTTTTCCCCAGAGTACGACTTACAAGGCATTCGTTACTACTAGACCACTGCAAATGCATTCCTTGAACATGGTACAGATTATAAGACAGCTAATGTGAACTTTGCTATAAAATCATGAAACATTTTTAAAGATGTTCTGATTCAGAACATCTCTGCTTTGGAGACAAAGCACAACAGGACGTTTAGAGTCAGAGTTGAGGATGAAGTGATGAAGTTAGAAGCATCATGGAACAATCCAAACATGTCTGTTGCTAAGCTACTTTGTGTTTTAGTTCTCATGTGTTTTCTGGATGTGATAAGGACATGTGTTTTCTGGACTGAGAGTCCATCCGGACCGGGAGTTCCTAATCTATCCTCTGGGATGTACGGTGATTCTGAAGAACATCTCCGATGGGAAACAGCAGATCCTGCTCGGACACACGAGCAGCGTGTCCTGCTTGTCGGTGTCCAAAAGTGGATCGTACATTGCCTCGGGCCAAGTCAGCTCTGTAGGCTCCAAGGTAACCAGAACTTTAGGTTCATTCATAACAACATTCAAATTTTGTGTTTTTAATGTATTTGTGTTTTTAAAGGCAACAATAATCATCTGGAACTACGCTGAGAGAGGAATCCACGCCAAACTGGATCTTCACAAGACTACGGTTGAAGCAGTAGCCTTCTCTCCCAGTGACAAGTACCTGGTGTCCCTGGGGGGTCCGGATGACAACAGGTAAATAAACACCCTCCCAATGAACATGAGCAGCAGGATCATGGAAAATATTACAGTCACGATTTTTATGGTAAATGCTAGAACAGAATATCTATTGGTTTCTATTTTAGTAGCAGTGACAGGTATACGGAACAGGTATGCAGGTGAAATTAGAAGTGAAGATTTTATTTATGTCAGTAATCCAGTTTAGACTGAGAGACCATCTAAAGTCTCAGGAACAGTTTGCAGGTGATTTGGATTCATTAGCTGATTAGAGTGTATCACACTCTGAGCTCATTCCATTGAACCAGCTCTTCTTAGGGCCTCTAAATCACTTCAGAACCTCGCGGAGTACAGACGCTTCCCTCTGTTGCTCCCTTATCTTTTTTCCCCAAGGCTCTTTGTCCTGTCTGCCCACAGAGTGCTTCTCTGCATTTCTGCTGAAAAACTCAATTTTTTTTTACTAACCATGGATTTGATAAACTGGCCATTCAATGCGATCAATAAGATTTTTCAACAATGAGAATGGAGCAGAGGGCTCCCACATGTCCACAGGGGACACAACCAGTGGGATATATGTTGGATTCCTGGAAGGAGTGGAAGATCGTATGCCTCTCCCAGCAGTCCATTGAGGACATCGAAGACGTGTTGATATTTGGTCTGATGATCACTGGATTTCTCCTGATTGGAGTGGGAGGATATCTGGTTTTCTGGAAATTGGGAAGTCGGGAGCGATTGGAGGGCGACCCGTACCCACGGAAAGCACCGTCCGTGTGGAGACTTCTCAGACTAGGACGTTACTCGAGGTGAATCGTAAGCTGGACAATGTTCTAGCTGCGATACCGGTATTAGTGCGCAAAATGGATGTCATCTCGGAGAGAGTCACCGGACGGTATGGACAAGTTTAAAACCCAAAATTGGCTTCACTGAAGGACTGGAAATGATCAGTTTAAAGACTGAAGGCAGAGAGGAAAATTATCTCAGCCTGACCCAAACAAAGTCTTGTTATCTGAATGTGACGCCCTGGTGGCCTTGAGCTGCAAGCAACTAAAACCCCCACGAAGGAATGCAGACAGATGCTGTGAAAACCCGACCTGAATTGTGTGTACTGAAACTCTAATTTCCCTCTGGGATTAATAAAGAATTGATTGATTGATTGATTGATTGATTAATGACCTTCTGACTCACAGTGATGCAGGGGACTGTTCTGTTCAGGTCCTGTTGGACCTGACTGCAGCCTTTGACACTGTTGACCATCACCTGCTACTGGAGAGGCTGAGAGACTGGGTAGGCCTATCAGGAACTGCTCTGGAGTGGTTCTCTTCTTATCTTTCTGAGCGTTCCTTCTCTGTGACAGTCTCCAAGTTTAGGTCCTCCACCACCTCCCTCACCCATGGTGCCCCACAAGGTTCTGTGCCGGGGCCTCTGCTCTTCCTCCTCTATCTACTTCCTCTTCAGCACATCCTGAGCTCCTTTAACAGAATCTTCTACCATCTTTTAGCAGATGACATCCAACCATACATGTCCTTTAAGCCCCATGAGATGTCTAAGCTGCAGCTTTTTCACACCTGCTTGGACTCTATCAAAACCTGGATGGCTGGGAGCTTTCTACAGCTGAATGAAGATAAGACTGAGGTCCTCATCTGTGCCCCAGACAAGCTGGTTCCCAAAGCCAGAGACTCTCTTGGTCAGCTTGCTTCTCCTCCAGCTTCACTAGCTGCCGGTCAACTTCAGGTTCATTTAAAGATCCTGGTTCTGGTCTTTAGGGCCTTATATGGACAAGCACCATCTTACATTGGTGATCTTCTCAATCTTTACACTCCCAGCAGGTCCCTCAGGTCCAGTGACCAAAGCCTACTGGTTGTTTTCTCTTTTGTAAATGAAGTAAATAAAAACTTAAGAGATCTCTCAATGAATCAGTAGATGATTTGATGTATAGACATGAATGCATGAAGTCTAAATATTTATTAACTCTAGAGGGGTCGCTCGCCACTCTTAAGCCTAGTTTATTTTTCTGCATCATCTCCACGAAGGAGAAGTTTGGTGAGGCCATGGAGAAAGACTATCGATCGGCTCCAAAGAGGTTCTGGCAAACTGTCCGGCGCCTCAGGAGAGGAAGGCAGCAACTCGCTCACACTGTTTACAGTGGGGATGGGGAGCTGCTGACGTCAACTGAGGCTATAGTCGGACGGTGGAAGGAATACTTTGAGGAGCTCCTCAATCCCACCAATGCGCATTCCGAGGAGGAACCAGAGCCGGGAGGCCTGGGGATGGACTGTCCGATCTCGGGGGCAGAAGTTGCTGAGGTAGTCAAACAACTACACAGCGGCGGAGCCCCGGGGGCGGATGAGGTTCGTCCTGGGTATCTCAAGGCTATGGATGTTGTAGGGCTGTCATGGTTGACACGTCTCTACAACATTGCGTGGTCATCGGGGGCAGTTCCTAGGGAGTGGCAGACCGGGGTGGTGGTCCCCATCTTTAAGAAGGGTGACCTGAGGGTGTGTTCCAACTATAGGGGGATCACACTCCACAGCCTCCCTGGAAAGGTCTACGCCAAGGTACTGGAGAGGAGGGTCCGATCGATAGTTGAATCTCAGATAGAGGAGGAGCAATGTGGTTTTCGTCCTGGCCGTGGAACTGTGGACCAGCTCTATACCCTTGCAAGGGTGATGGAGGGGGCATGGGAGTTTGCCCAACCAATCCACATGTGCTTTGTGGATTTGGAGAAGGATTATGACCGTGTCCCCAGGGGCACCCTGTGGGGGACGCTCCAGGAGTATGGGGTGGGTGGCTTTCTGTTAAGGGCCATTCAGTCCCTTTACCAGAGGAGCGTGAGTTTGGTCCGCATAGCCGGTAGTAAGTCGGACCTGTTCCCAGTGAGGGTTGGACTCCGCCAGGGCTGCCCTTTGTCACCGGTTCTGTTCATCACTTTTATGGACAGAATTTCTAGACGCAGCCGTGGTGTGGAGTGTGTCGAGTTTGGTGGCAGGAGAATCTCGTCTCTGCTTTTTGCGGATGATGTGGTCCTCCTAGCTTCATCCAGCTCTGACCTTCAGCTCTTGCTGGGTAGGTTCGCGGCCGAATGTGAAGCGGCTGGGATGAGGATCAGCACCTCCAAATCTGAGACCATGGTTCTCGACCGGAAAAGGGTGGCTTGCCACCTCCGGGTCGGGGGAGAGGTCCTACCTCAAGTGGAGGAGTTTAAGTATCTCGGGGTCTTGTTCACGAGTGAGGGTAGGAGGGATCGGGAGATCGACAGGCGGATTGGTTCGGCGTCTGCAGTGATGCGGACGCTGAGCCGATCTGTCGTGGGGAAGAGGGAGCTGAGCCAGAAAGCCAGGCTCTCGATTTACCGGTCGATCTACGTCCCAATCCTCACCTATGGTCATGAGCTTTGGTTAATGACCGAAAGAACGAGATCGCGGATACAAGCGGCCGAAATGAGTTTCCTCCGTAGGGTGGCCGGGCTCAGCCTTAGAGATAGGGTGAGGAGCTTGGACATTCGGGAGGGACTCGGAGTAGAACCGCTGCTCCTCCGGATTGAAAGGAGCCAGTTGAGGTGGTTTGGGCATCTGGTCAGGATGCCTCCTGGACGCCTCCCCGGGGAGGTGTTTCGGGCATGTCCTGCCGGCAGAAGGCCCCCGGGTCGACCCAGGACACGTTGGAGAGGTTACATCTCCAATCTGGTCCGGGAACGCCTTGGGGTCCTGCCGGAGGAGCTGGTGGACAAGGCCGGGGAGAGGACGGCCTGGAGCTCCCTAATTGGGATGCTGCCCCCGCGACCCGGACCCGGATAAGCGGAGGAAGACGAGACGAGACGAGATCTCCACGAAGGAGAGACATACACACTTTGACAGAGACGTTTTGCTCTGGGACTTCTTCGTCTCCTTCAGAGTGTTGCAAAGCAATTCCCCACCAGGACGACAGAGGATGTTGCGCTGTTTTGTGGTCCGGATGGTCCAGGAAAGTGTATTTACTAATGTGTACATATTGTGATTTTTGTATTTCAGAAACTTTTTAACACGGACAAATTTGTCTCTCATTCTGCTCCACCTCTCCATGCGCTCATCACCTCTAAAACCAAATATTCCGTCATTTTCATCCACAAATAAAACACTTGCTGCATATTTTTTTACTCCTCCAGTCACGGGTGAATAAAACGTTCATATTTATAGAGGTTTTCCTTGAGGTATACTTCACGCTGCTCCGTGTCTGTCGCTAGATATCTTCAGTTCTTCTCATGTTTTTGAGAGCCCAATGACGGTGCTGTTGACAAAAGCATTTTCATGACCAATCGCAAGCTTGCGTTCTCCGTCTCATCCGACGGATGTGTAGAAAAGTGGGCTCGACTCTGTCCGCCCTTGCGAGAGCTCTCCAGCAGGCTCTAAAGGACGGATAATGGTGTTGCATGTCTCCATACTGACGCAGACACAGAAGCATAATCTAGGCGTGTTTCTCAATTTCAAGGCGCCTTGCTTACGAGGACACGGTCCTTCCTTGGTCAAAGAAAACTGTTAAATGGAACAGACATAAATCACGTGACCGCGGCTTCCACGGCGGTCACGTAACGTCACGTGACACGGGAGATAACGTTATATTTTTTATGTACGTATTAGTTTCAATATAAATATATAGTGAGTCTTTTACTTTTTAAATTGTGTATATGTTTATTAAATTAAATATATAAGTGAGTTACTCCCTGCTAGCCACCGAAGCTGCAACTACTAAGCAACTAACCAACAACAGGTAACTTCTTTGGATCTAAAAAAAACATTTTAAATTAATTGACATACTTTTAAACTTGAAAATTGTCCCCGAAGTAGCTGCCGGCTTCTGGTACGCCATCCTTTTGAAAATACCGCTGTATATTCTGGGTAATTTTTGACCAAGGCTAGGCGACAAGACTCCTCCCATGTATCCTCGTTCGGCTAGCTAAATGGCTAACAAACGGAGAACACACATCTCGGTAGAAAAAGAACATTGGAACACGTCTTGGCGGCTCCCGATGACGTATCTCCTAGGCAGCCAGGGCGGGGCCAAGACATCAAGGCAAGGTTCCTTGACATTGAGAAACACCCTAGGTTTTGGTAAATGGTAAATGGCCTGTATTTGATATAGCGCCTTCTAGAGTCCTGGAACCCCCCAAGGCGCTTTACAACACAATCAGTCATTCACCCATTCACACACACATCCACACACTGGTGGGGATGAGCTACAATGTAGCCACAGCTGCCCTGGGGCGCACTGACGGAGGCGAGGCTGCCGAGCACTGGCGCCACCGGTCCCTATATGTAACTCCGCCCCTTCAGATGTGTGGAAGAAATACATTCTCACAAGATTTTGACTTCAATTTAGACATTGAATTCATGACATAGAATATTTTTTCTGTGAAATAGTGAATTTAAAATTTTTACTTACAGTATGTTAAACCAGTAAAAATTTCATTTATAAAAATTCAACTGAAGATATCAATCTTCGAAAATTCAACAACTGAATTTCAATGTAAAAATTTTATCTGTAAAAATTTAACAGCAACAATTCAATGACCACCTGGTGACCCAAGTCAAAACAATCATCACTCGATTGAGTTGACACCTCACTGGTGTCACGTGACCAGTGAAGCGTAATTTGATTGGTTAAAAGCCACTGGACTCGATCGAGTGACGATTGCTTTGGCTTAGGTCACCAAGAGGCCACCTCATTTGTCATTGAATTTCTGCTGATGAAATTTTTATATGAAATTCTGCAGTTGACTTTTTGAGGAAAATAATTTGGCTTATTTTAAGTAAAAAAATTAAAATACATAATTTCACAGAATAAAAATTCAATGTCTAAAAAAAGTCATATTCTGGTGACACTGGGCTGCATGGTGGCGCAGTGGTTAGCACTGTTGCCTCGCAGCACGAAGGTCGCAGGTTCGAAACTCGGCTGCGGCCTTTCTGCGTGGAGTTGCGTGTTCTCCCCATGCATGCCTGGGTTTCCTCCGGGTTCTCCGGTTTCCCCCACAGATCACAACATGCCCTACAGGTTAGAAATTGTAAGTCACTTTGGATACAAGCGTCTGCCAACTAAATAAATATAAACACTGTATTTCATCCATAGAGATGTAGTGTGTGTTCGCTCTGTGTTTCCAGAATAGTGGTTTGGAATATCGAGACCAAGCTTCCGATCTGTGTAAGTTCAGCTTTGCTCCGCAGCTCTGAACCCTGCCTCACGCTACAATACTTCAACACCAACGATGACTTCTTCGTTTCTGCTGGGAGGTGACTGATTTCTCTCTCTTATGGACGTTTTACGTGGATGGAGTTTTATTTTGCTGCGTGTTTTTGGAACATTTATCTCAAGTTTCTTTGTGCAGCGGAACAATACAAATTTGGAAGCTGAATCTCACCGACAGAAAGATCCATCCCACAGGATGTAACACCGGCAAGCTGAAGAGGATAGTGAAATGTTTGGAGGTATGAAGCTTCGACTTGTTTACCTTTATTGATCCACCCTGTTTCCAGCAGCACACGTAGGAATAAAACTCTTTGTTATAAAGAATTAGTTATTGCTGAAATGGACAAATGTGTGCCACACTGAACATCCTTGTTACTGCAGATTTCGGAGGACGATCAGTTCCTTTTCTGTGGAACAACAAGTGGAGACATAATGAAAATCAACCTGAAGTCAGCGCTTCTGAGTAACTCTGGTCCAGTTATAGGGCCGTTGAGCCTGGTAGGTCCCCACAGCCAGTCCTCTCTGAGCTGCATGCTGGTACTTTTAGCAGCTGTATGTCTCCATGCTGCCTGTTTCTGACATAATGCTGATGCAACCATCGACATATTGGACAATGGGTTTCCATAGACTCCAGTAACATGTTTTTGAGGAGAAATGGGAGGTGGCCACCACCGCCGTTTTGACCGTGTCACAGGTTCCGTCAAGCCCAGACAATTCCACAAAAGGGAAGAGAGGAGGAGCTGAGGGTGGGGCTGTAAGGCTGGGATCAACTGACGACACGCGGTCGAACGAGCTACAAGCTAACCTGAAGCTAACCCAAAGCTAACGCGGAGGTGGGAGCTAAGCTAACGGAGGTAGCAACCTAGCTACAACCGGAGTTAACTGTGCACAAAACCAGAGCTAGGGATGGGTACCTTTGACATTTGAATCGATCCGGTACTAATTCCCGGTACCTACGAATCGATACCGGTACTTAACGGTACCAATTTTCGATACTTTTGAGTGTTTATTATTTTAATTCTCTTTTATAATTAAATATATATTTTTCTCAATATATAACAATATTTGATAAATATCACGATAAATAACATTCAACTGTTTGTATTTTAACATCGTCCTTGTAGTTTTATAAGCTGATAATTAAACTGAAGCAAACATCTTTACTGTGAACTAAATTTACTGTGTATCTTCATTCCTTTTGCTGTCTTTTACAATTTGATTTTTCCTACTGGGAAGTTAGAATTTCCGAGGAGAAAGCGAACGCACCATTAGCTGATAACAATGGTGGCAATGGAAGCTAACATATCAAGCTAACGTTATCTTTAACAGTTTATTTAACTGCTGGAGCAGATTAAAACGATGATGCCTCACACTTAGATCGTTGTCGCTGGTTTCATCTTCACCCAATCACCCGTCACATTTAGTAAAGTGAAGCCAAACTTTAGAGCACGTTCATGTTCTTCTAGTCAGAAATTCGGAGTTCTGAGGAGAAAGCGAACGCACCTTAGCGAAATGGAAGCTAATATATCAAGCTAACGTTATCTTAAACATTTTATTTACCTACCGGAGCAGATTAAGATGAGGATGTCTCACTTAGATCGTTGTCGCTGGTTTCATCATCACCCAGTTACCCATCACATTTAGTGAAGTGGACCCAAGCTTTAGCGTGCGTTCTTTCTACCATGCTGCTCTGTTTACAACTGGTTCGCAGCGAGCGACGACATAACGCTCTTGCGCACGCGCAGCTGTCTTGGCAAGTTCTCGTTATGAAGGACGGGTACCGAAACGAGGCACCGTTTGAAATGACGTGAATCGGTGCTCGGTCGGTACTGTGGAATTCGGTCGGTGCCTTAAAAAGTACCGAATTCGGTACCCATCCCTAACCAGAGCTGACGCCGGGCTGACTGCTCGGGCCAAGTATTCATAACTTCATTTTATTTCTGCTGTTAAATTCACATTTTTAACATGGGAGTCGGTGGGAACTGGCTCATTTCTGGAGCCAGCCCCTAGTGGAGGAGGGTTGAACTGCAATTTAAATCACTGGCTTCAGTTTTGGCAGGCCAGGAGTTTCCCCTTGGTTTTCTCTGAGTTTGGTGTCAGAAAGCACGTGCTTGTATGAGCACTTTGAAAAGTTCCTCTACAACGTCACAACAATGGAACTTGTTTAATGGACAATGGAACTTGTTCTTGCTTTGGCCTTTTCTCTACAGGGTGTCAATGTTGTCAAGATCCTAAAATCCGGAGACCTACTTGTGGGTTCTGGAGCTGGCGTGTTAGCTTTATGTTCCAAAACGAGCTTCAAACCTCTTAAGTGAGTCTCACACCTGCACCATCAATGCCATTTCCTCACAAGCGTGTGCAACAACGCATCACATGATGCAACGTTTGGTTTTATTTAGTGTTATTTTGCATCTCTTGCCTCTTTGCTTCCCCACCCCACATTAGGAAGGTTCAGCTGGAAAAGGGGGTGACCTCCATCACTGGAAGTGATGAGGAGCAGCAGTTCTTCATTGGTACAGAGGCTGCTCAGATGTACCGCTTCAGTCTGGAGGATTTCACAGCTGAGGCTATTTCCTCCAGCCACAGCAGTGCTGTCAGAGACGTGGCCATCCCTTCGTAAGTGGCAGAGAGGCGTTCAGGCTGGGGGACTCACACACACCCATCAGCACTGACAGACATTTGTCATCTGCTGTTCCTTTGAAATTTGAAATCAGACACTCACCAGAGTGATGGAACATAGACAGCAATGGGCATTTTGTACATTTTGAAGTGTGTTTCTGTACAAAAGTAAAAAATAATGACAATCTTTACCTTTTTACACGGTCTCAGTTTGAAGAAACAGAGTTCGTATCTTAAAGGACGCGTGACATAAATGCTAGTCCAAGTGCAGATAGAGAAGATAACTTACTTTTAAAAAGGGTGTTAAGATGGCAGCCAAACACCAGCCATTCACTCATCATCTAAGCTAAGACCATTGGGTAAGTGAGTTATTCATCAGTTTAAACCAAAAACTGATGTCAAAACATCCTAATTATCTCTTTAATGTCGAGACATCAGCAGCTTCTCAGTGTGTGTTCAGCTTCACTGAAAAGAACCAATCAGCAGTTGTTTTTAGTTGCACCAGGTGTTTCTACCTAGTAACAAAATAGATGGAATATCCTGTATAAAGAGGGCTGTTTGTGAGGTTTTATCCCTCTGTACCTGTACCGCATTTTCTCTGTTATGCTCACAAGAGGGCGACAAACACACACACCTCACAAGAGGGCCACACACACACACACACACACACACACACACACACAAGGTCTGCAAAAATACTGAATTTCCTTTTCTCAGATTAAACCCTAAGACCACATGACCAAGTGTCTGTCTTCCTGTTTTGTTGCAGTGGAACATCTGAGCTGTTTGCAACGTGCTCTAATGACATCAGGCTGTGGTCCGTTAAGAAACCCAAAGAGGTTCTGTGCATCACTGTGCCTCACGTGACATGCAACGCCCTGGACTTTATGGTTGATGGAAGCAGCATCATCAGTGGTGAGACCCAGTAACAAGTCTTTGTGCTGCTCTACTCTAAATCATACATGGAGCTCTGCTTCCTATCAAAGCTATTCCTTTACTGAGCTGATTCACCCCCCCGATGCTAAACACAGTTTTAACTTGTTTTTTTAGCGTGGGATGATGGTAAGATCCGTGTGTTTACATTGGAAACTGGACGTCTGATGCACACCATTCACAGTGCCCACAAGCAGGGCGTGACAGCCATCGCTGGAACTAGAGACGGCAGAAGGATCATCAGTGGAGGTGGCCAAGGAGAGGTCCGTGTGTGTTGACGCTGACTCACAACCTTTAATGTTCAGCTCCTAATGCCATCACAGATGATGAGCTTTGTTGTCTTCTGCTCCTCCCTGTGTTTTCTCCTCCAGAGGCCTTGCCTTCAGCTCATTACTCACACCTTCTCTGTGTTTGTTAATCAGCCCTCCCCAGCATCTCATACTATATTACACCCTCTGTTCTTGGTTCCCACTGGCTCGCAGGGGCGTGTCCAGGGAGTGGCCTGGGGTGGCACATGCCGCCCTTGGAATCTGACTGGCCACCCCAGGTGCCACCACACTAATTTACCTTTAAATAGGCTTTTCATTGTCCACAAAAAGCTTGGGGGTAAAACAAAAAAAGCATAACCATTGGTGCCACCCATGCAAAAAGTTGTGCCGCACCTTGGCCACCCCATTTTAAAAGATCTGGACACGCCACTGCTGGCTCGTTGTGTTGTGTTTAGCATTACCTTTTTTTTCTTCCTTTTAACGAAAGATAATAACAAAGTTGTTCCTACTTCGGGTTCATCAAACACTAACCTGATGTCACAAACAGGAAATCGTATTCCTATTAGCCAACATGTTAGCAACTGGTTCGGGCGACTTGGCACAGCGAATGCAGTCGATTCTATCAGTGTTTCAACTCTGACCCTTTTTCGTGACCTTGTTGGGGCCAGAACCACCGTATGATGCAGCCTCCTCTGGACTTCAATCAATCAATCAATCAATCAAATTTTATTTGTATAGCACCTTCTACAACATTATCGGAAGCCCAAGGTGCTGAACAGCATCATTAAAGGAAAAACATTCCCAGTACATGGGCATAAAAGCAGGATAAAAACATAAAATCATAAAATATCAAGCAAACACTATTACAGATAAAGAGAGATATCGGAATAAGACTAATCGATAAAAAAACTAATTTTGGACAAAATAAAATCAAGCATCTGGGTTAAAAAGAAGAATAGTTAAAACCATAATGTCAGGGCAATTCAAATGACCCTAGCGCTAAAACGCAATCAAATAAAAATGAGTCTTTAAACGAGACTTAAAGACTTGAAGGGATGGTGCCTGCTAATGCTCAGTGGCAATTCGTTCCACAGAGTTGGAGCCAAAATAGAAAAAGCACGACAACCCCTCGATCGATATTTCGACCGGGGGACCACCAGAAGTTCCTGCTCGGCTGAGCGAAGAGACCGAGATGGAGCATACCTGTTCAAAAGCGCAGTAATGTACGAGGGGGCACTGCCCTGGAGGGCCTTATAAACGAGAGTTAAGATTTTAAACTTGGCTCGATATTTTACCGGGAGCCAGTGCAGAGCATCCAGCACTGGGGTAATGTGCTCTCGACATCTAGTGCCTGTCAGGAACCTAGCCACAGAGTTCTGCACAAACTGGAGCCGTGCAACCGTGCACTGGGCCAGACCAGCATACAGAGCGTTGCAGTAGTCCAGCCGGGACAGGACGAAGGCATGCAACACAGACTTCACCGTAAGGATTCTGAGCTAACGTTGGTTTAACAGTTTCATGGATGAGATTAGCTTTCAGCTCCTGAAAAAGATGTCCTTTTATATACTTGATTAGATTTTTTAAAATTCTGTTTAGATTTTAGCTTTTGCAGTACACGTTAGTTTTGCTTGGGTGCTTCATTCAGTAGTTTCTACTTTGCTGATGCATCTTTGAATGTTTTGCATCACCATGATCCAACCCTGGCCCTTCCAACTGTATTCATGTAAATCCCTTTCACACACAGCATTTGCATAGAGAGAGACCCATGGATGCTCTGTTTGGTATTAAACCAGTTGGAAATCAGAAGTCAGATGAAGGTGAAGGAGTTTGTGCTTTCTGTTTGCAGGTGCACGTTTGGGAGTTGCTACCTCACAACCATCGTCTGCTGGGGATCATGAAGGAGCACAAAGCTGCTGTCCTGTGCGTTAAAGTCACGAAGGATGACAAGGAGTGTGTCTCAGCCAGCCAGGACGGCACCTGCGTCATCTGGGACCTGGTGTGAGTAGTTCACCTGAAGGTTGTCACACCCCAACAAGGGTCACGGAAGTTTGGTTTTTCAGTCCAGTGTCTCGTAAAGCATTTGCACAGGGGTGCTGCACAGGGGTGGCCAAAAGTTTAGAGAATGACACGAATATTAGTTTTCACAAAGTTTGCTGCTAAACTGCTTTTAGATCTTTGTTTCAGTTGTTTCTGTGATGTACTGAAATATGATTACAAGCACTTCTGTCATGTCTTGTGGAATGTGTTTAACCCAGGACATGCAGTAATCTGACTCGACGAGCAGGTAGGATGAAATTAAAGTCTTTATTTATTAACTGGAACAAAAGGTGCACAGGGAAGTCCTGTGGAGAGGGTGAGCAGTAGCTCGAGTCCATAAACGTTCGGGGAGAACGAGGTGAGGAAGCCGAGGTGAGCTCAAGTTAGTCCAGGGGTGATCAGGAAACAGGTTAGACAGCAGAAAGGATCCAACCAGGCACAGCAGAGGAGGATGGGACGTGGTGTGAATGTCCAGTCATTAAAACAGCAAGTTGAGGCAGGTTGAATGGGATTCTGGAGAGAACAAACAACATCCAGATTTCAGGGTAATCCAAAGAGTAATCAGAGCGGTCCAAGTTCAATAATCCAAAATATCCTATATTCGAGTGACGAGTTCACAAAACAAGAACGAGTGGCTGGGACTACCTATACAGGAGCAATCATCCGGCGTAATGAGGTGTCACCATCCTCCTTTTATACCCGCGTCCCTGATTGGAGATGTTCTGTAGCTGCGGCCCCCTCCGCTGTCACCTGTGGAAAATCAGTCAGATAGAGTGAGATGGGGGTGATGTCACTCACCTCGGCTCAGGAACATCACAACTTCACGTTTCAAAGGCTTTTATCAGCAATTACATGACATTTATGCAAAGAGTCAGTATTTGCTGTGTTGGCCCTTCTTTTTCAGGGCCTCTGCAGTTCGACTGGGCGTGCTCTCAATCAACTTCTGGGCCAAATCTTGACTGATAGCAGCCCACTCTTTCATAATCACTTCTTGGAGTTTGTCAGAATTAGTGGGTTTTTGTTTGTCCACCCGCCTCTTTAGGATTGACCACACGGTAAAATTTTTTGTTGTAAATTTACAGTAAATAATTGGATAAATTTTGCATGACTTTCTCAGTAAGAAATACAGTAATATACTGTGAAATATACTCTGTATTTTTTGTATGTAATATTGCAGGGTATTCTTGTAAAAGCACAACTTTTTACTGTAATTTTACTGTTGTGTTGACAAAACAATTATTGTGATATTACAGTTAATTACTGGGGATTTACAACCTTTTGCAGTACATCATTACAACAAGACCCTGTACTTTTACAGGGTGTACTGTGAAATTAATATACAAGTTCACAGTTATTTTCTGTTAATATACAATGCAAACTGAGGAAATTGTCCAGTAATTTACTGTAAAAGTAATGCAGATTTACTGTGAATTTACAATCATTAAAGTATGTACCCCCTCCTACAAACCACTCTGAGGTAAAGTAAATGTTAGCACAATGGCATATTTATTAAAAATATATTTTTAAGTACACAGCAGATGCCAAGAACTGCCGGAATCCAAGAAATGTGACTTGATAGCAGGGTATCCGCGGTCCTTAAAACGTCTTAAATTAGCTTTTCCAAATTTAAGGTCTTAAAAATCCTTAAAAATGACAAATATTCCTTACATACAGCTTTCAAAGGTCTTACATTTTCAAAGACCCAATAAACAAGATTCTTTTATTTCTATAAAATTTTCCAGAATTTCTAGTTAGTCTTCAGCATTTTCTGTGTACCATGTTGGCGTAAGCGGAACCGTACATATTCAGTTGGTTGTGAAAGGGGGCTATTTTTAGATGAGCACATTAGCTGGTTAAGCTAGTGGGAGCTTGCGCCATGGGGAAGTGCAAGTTTAATGGTAACTGGATGGCTAATCCCACGTTTGCGACGTGGTTAGCACCGGTTCCAGGCAATAGCTGAAAATTATAGCTTATTTAATTTTAAAAATAGCTTAAATTTGGTCAAAGTGGCCTTAAAAAAGGTCTTAAAAAGTCTTAAAGTTGGCTCCCTTAAACCTGCAGATACCCTGTGATAGTCATAAAAGCTACTTTAACCTGCTGAGAAATGGTGCAAACCTGCACCTGTCACACAATAACTAATGGACAGGATGGAAATCAGGCCTTCGTGGTAAGATAAGGAAAGAAGGGAGAGAGGATGATGTGATGTCGAAAAGCGGTCAGGTAATGCAAATTTGTCTTTAAAAATGACAAAACGACTAGGCTACTCCACTGAGCCCAACAACTACTGCTGAAAAAACAAAAACAACAAACTTTGATGTCCATTCAAAGTCCACAAGTTTCCTCAAAAGGCTGCTCACATGAGGGTTGATTGTTGTCCGCTTCTTGGTCTTTGAACCTCTTTCAGGATTGATGCCCAGGAAGCACCTAATAATAAGCAAAGGTAGTTTCAGTTTTAAATAGACTTGCATAAATAGACTATTGCATCCCATTGAGAACTTGTGCACAAGTTCTCAATGGGATTAAGATCTGGGGAGTTTCCAGGCCATGTACCAAAAATGTCAATGTTTTGATCCCCGAGCCTTATGGCACGGTGCTGCATCGTGCTGGAAAATGCATTGTTCTTCACCAAACTGCTGTTGGATTGTTGGAAGGAGATGCTGTCGGAGGGTGTTTTGGTACTATTCTTTATTCATGGCTGTGTTTTGGGGCGAAATTGTGAGTGAACCCACTTCCTTGGATGAGAAGCAACCCCACACATGAATGGTCTTAGTATGCTTTACTGTTGGCATGACACAGGACTGTTGGTAGCGCTCACCTTTTCTTCTCCAGACAAGCCTTTTTCCAGATGCCCCAAATAATCGGAAAGGGGCATCATCGGAGAATATGACTTTACCCCAGTCCTCAGCTGCCCATTCACCATACTTTTTGCAGAAGATCAATCTGCCCTGATGCTTCTTTGCTGCCTGTTGGATATTTTAACCAAAAATAAAGCACATCAGAGGAGATTGGTAGATTTGATACGCTGCAGCGGAGAACAGAGAGCGTGATCGGAACCTCACTTCCCTACTCTGACTCTCTACCCCCACCACAGCGGTTTTATTGTGAGAGAGGAAAAAATGAACAAAGACCTATTCGTCATAGCCTACACTAGCCAATAACAGCGTTGCTTCTAGGCTAAGGCGGGATATTCCAAAAAGGAAGTCTCTTTTTATGGAGGAGGCTGCTAGCAGCCAAGAACTGCTGAGTCACTCAGGAACTAGGACTGTTCCTGTTGCTGGGCAGATTAAGACGTAGTATATCACAGCAGAACAGAACACTTAGACTTACATTTAGGGCATAAACACTTAAAAAGAACGTTTAAGAAAAGTGACATATAAAAAACTCTAACACTGTCCATCTTGACACCAGGCCATCTTCCAATAGTCTTCGCCTCACTGTGCGTGCAGATGCGCTCACACCTGCCTGCTGCCATTCCTCAGCGAGCTCTGCACTGGTGGCACTCCGATCCCGTTGCTGAATCCTCGTTAGGAGACGATCCTGGCGCTTGCTGGACTTTCTTGATGCTCTGAAGCCTTCTTAACAAAAATTGAACCTCTTTCTTTGAAGGTCTTGATGATCCTATAAATTATTGATTTAGTTGTAATCTTAGTAGCCACAATATGCAATTCATCTGTTCACTCTTCATGTCATTCTGGAATATGTGCAAATTGCTATTTTAAAAGCTTAAGCAGCAACTTTTCCAATTCCCCATATTTGTGTCATTCTCAAAACTTTTGGCCACGACTGTAGGACTATGGGGCATATCCGATCCTAGGGATGCAACGATACCACTTTTTTCCAAACCGATAAGATACCGATACTTGGATCTGAGTACTCGCCGATACCGATTACCAATACCGATACTTCTACCACACAAAAAAATGCAATGATTTGGAATACAGATTTAATTTTCTTCTCTGCTTTCAACAGGAAAGGACTGTGAGGTAGATAAAAAGTAAAATATATGAATGGAAATCATCACAAAACTAAAATATTAGGTGAACAGAAATGACAAGTTACAGTGAAGCCATTTTCAAGCAACTGCATTGGTATCGGTTCCTGGTATCGGTGAACTTTTACCGATACCGTTACTGGTATCAGTATCGGTGCCGATACCGGTATCGTATCGGTGCATCCCTATCCGATCCCACACAACCAGAGCATGATCTGCGCTCACATTCTTGATGCTGTCTCTGATCCGGTTTGGGATGTTTGAGGACAGCATCTGAAGGTGAAATCATGGATTTGGGCTCATCTCTGCACTGCAGATATTACGTGGCTTACCTTTTAGAAATCAGATGAAAATGTTTGATTTGATTGTTTCATTTTGTTTCTTATTAGAAAATAAAACACTTGTTACTGATTGATTGGTTCTTCTTCTCCTTCAGAAAACTTGTGAGCATCAAACTAATGAAAGCCAGCACCCTCCGGACCGTGTGCTACCATCCAGAGGAATTCCAGATCCTCACCAGCGGCACCAACAGCAAAGTACGTTTAATCTGAATCCAACAACTGTAGCTCCCGCCTCAACGGTTACACCCTCACAGTCGCCTCTAAGTACTTTCACTGTTTTTGGTGTTTGCTCATAATCAGCAGGATCTTCCTCGTTAGGGGGCAGAAAAAAATGTCACCGCTCACAATTTGGAGGCTTCATTAAGCTGTTGTCACCTCAATCTCCACCCAGTGAGCGTTAGAGAAACGTGTGGAGAGGCAGCGATGACCTCACACCATCAGAGCTTGCTTATCATAATGAAACCATTGTGCCCACTGCTTATGACTAGGGCAATTAAAAAAACACTCCTTTTGATTAATGTCTGATTAACATAAAGGTCTGAGGTTGGCTCTGGTAGAATGAGTCACTCATATTACCGCCGTCCCCTCATGCTGAGAGGCGAGGACGAGTCGTGCTGATTAACGCTGCAGCGTGGAGGTGAGCAACGCCGGAGTGAGTCTGAGGTATTCAGAGAAGGCGATGGGGGGTGCTGCGGTGTTGGTGCCTTCCTGCGGATGTGCCTGTGCCACCCGAGTGCCAGCCAGATCCTCCATCTGCTCATTCCAACACACAGGCGCTCTGTGTGAGACAACAAACAGCCACACTCGCTCACCACCTCCCAGCCTGCCGCTGAGGCAGAGCGGACAGTTAAACACAAGTGACAGAAAATGGAGGAAGGCGCCATAAAGAACGATTAGAGTGGAAGTTTATTCAGAGGTTCAGATAACGGGTGCGGCATCGTGATTCTGACTCTTGTCTGAAATCTGTGTTTTTGAGTTTGTTGGATCCTGTAAAGGACAAGTGAAAGGGTCCAAGAAAACATTAGATTTATATGAAATTCAAGTCTATTTTATTGCTCGGAAGGTTGCAGGTTCGAGTCCCGCTCAGTCTGTCGCTGTCGTTGTGTCCTTGGGCAAGACACTTAACCCACCTTGCCTGCTGGTGGTGGTCGGAGGCACCGGTGGCACCCGTGTACGGCAGACTCGCCTCCATCAGTGAGCCCCAGGGCAGCTGTGGCTACAATGTAGCTCATCCCCATCAGTGTGTGAATGTGTGTGTGAATGGGTGAATGACTGGTGGTGTTGTAAAGTGCCTTGGGGAGTTCCAGGACTCTAGAAGGTGCTATATCAAATACATTTACCATTTACAATGCCTAGAGATTGCATGTCCACAATTCAAGGCCTGCCTTCATAAAATGGGAAGATAGATTGTGAGAGGCGTGTTTAATATTCTGTTAAATACACATCCTAATGCATTTAAATCCTGGTAATGGTTCTGGTTTAGTTGGTGGATTCTGTGTCCCAGCTCGTCAAACACCAGGTTTCTTTGTTAGATTTCTCTCTTCATGATGGACGGATGGGACACGAGCATGTTTTGTCCACAAAGACACATTTGCTAAATTAATCCTGGCATCGTCCTGCTGGGATAGCTACTGCAGAAACTGATTTCTAAGAAAGTAAAAAAGGCTCATTTTTGCATATTTTACCAGATTTTTTAATCTAAAAAGAAAGAAAATCTTCTCTAGAAAATAGCATTTCTTAAAATGAGGTAAATATTCCTAAATATGATAAGATTTTCCTCGTTTTAAGTAAAAAAAAACCAATGTATTCAAAAGTTTCCTGGCTAAAATTCTTTCAAAATGCATCTAAAATTAGATTATTTTGCTAGTTGTAAGAATTCTAGCCAGGAAACACTTGCCTACCCCTTTGGCGTTATTTATTTTAAACTAATAAAAAGAGAAATGTCTAAATGGGCCTTTTTAAAACTTTCTTAGAAATCATTTTTACAGTGTAAGGACTTTCCTAAGTCATCAACTTAACTGTGGCGTGTCCCAGTCTCTGTATAAATGGTGGCTTTACTAATGCGTATCATTAACTCTAGTGCATCTCTGCTCTATCACAAGCAACGAGCTTTGCACACGAACACGCTCACTGAGTTTCTGACCATCTGGAAGTAGCTTAGTAGATGTTTCGTCCTTGTTGAGTTTATCTCCACACAGTTTCTGGATGTGGTGGCAGATTGTGCTTCGCCAAGGTACCTCTGAACTATGATGACAGTTATGACATCCGAGGACTCAAAAGTCCAATATATCAGGTTCTGCCCTCATTTTTTGGTCTTCCACAGTTTTACACGGTAGGCGTAATGTAAAAGTAAAGATGACTGAAACCAGACACTTCAGTGTTACTACCAAACAAATATTATTGATGTACAGCAGGTGTGGGGAACCCTGGTCCTCGAGGGCCGGTATCCTGCACGTCGTTGCTCCAACAGTTTTGATTCAGTGGTTGCGTCACCTGTTCAGCAGCTCATCAGGCTCTGCAGGAGCCTGTTAATCACCTGCTGATTGAAATCAGGTGTGTTGAAGCAGAGTTGAAACTAAAATATGCTGGATAGCCCTCGATGGACCAGGGTTCCCCACCCCTGATGTAGAGGGACTTGTTGAAATCAAAACTAAGCCATTTTTATTCAATTTGAAAATCTCTAATTCAGAATGAATTTTAAAAGGTTAAATCTGATTTATTTCTCCCGATTCCGATCCTTTCAAAAACACATGATCTGGACCGATTTCCGATCATGGAATCGGATCGGTAGCATCCCTAATAAAGACCATAATGACCCCATGGTAGCAGAACACCACTGGTGTGAGAGGTTCTCTGCTCAGTAATATCAGTAAAGGAGAAACAGCCGGCTGCTACCACTTCAGCTTTAGGACAAACTACCAGAGTCCCAAAAAGAAAAACATAATTTGAAGTCATCCACAACAAAAGATATTTGGACCTAGAAAATGGCGTCTGGTGTGTAGCACTATCTCGTTTCCTCTGGCAATGTGGGTTTCTGGTTCCGGTGGAAGCAGAACCATTGAAGATACCCGAAGGGAGGGGTGATTGTTCTGTGTTTGTGTTCAAAAGCTAGCTTGTTTTGTGGATTTGCCCATGCAGCTTTAACTTGTATCAGCTTGTCTGGTTTATTGTTAGATTTCTGGACTCTTGGGTTCTGAGCTGTCAGGTTTAAAGGTTAAGGGGCTTGACACACGGGAGGCGACAAACGACCGCAATCAGCGAAATTCGTCTCTGTCGCTTTTATTACCTGACATACGGGAGGCGATCCGCGGCAGCGGCAAAGCCGTCTACGCGTTCTGTTCCATGGCGAAATCGAAACTTCCGTTGTTTTGTTGGGCTGTGTCAGGTTGGAGGGAATTAAGGTTATTTAAGCGGTTCAGAGTTAATAAAGCGGTAGATATGATGTTTCACAAGGTGCTGCTAGAGTTATGTGACATCTTACTTCTGATTTTACTATAAAACATAATAATAATCAACTTCTCCTCCATGTTTGCTCGGAGGTGTACGGAGCATCCTGTCTGCTCATTGGTCAGTGAATGAAACCTCCGTTGATTGGTCCTCGTCTGAGCGACAGCGATGAAAAGTTGAAAATATATCGACGTTTTGGGATTGCGTCGCTGGGTCGCCTGTGCACGACACGTGCACGAGCGCTAAATTTCACACGCACGTTTCCCGCTTTTCGCTTAGTAGGCCAGAGACCCGCGATTATCACTTTGTCGCACATGACTCATTGAAAATGAATGTCGAGCTCATAATGCTTAGAAGTTCTGCGCCTGATTCTCAGATTGTTTACTGGATGGTGTTTGAGGACTCTCCCATCAGAGTGGTGGACGGCTCCCTGTATGGATCTATCAACGACATGGATGTCACACAGGACGGCAAATACTTTGTTACAGGTGTGTCCATCTACTCGTTTACTCTTGTGTCTTGTTGACAACATCTAGGACCTTGTTTTCCTTTCCCACCACTGACACTGATTTATTTCCTGTTACTGATGTGTTTCCCACCTTCGTTCAGGTGGAGAGGACCAACAGGTGAGAGTTTGGGACTATGTGAAAGGTGTTGTGACCCATGTGGGCAGAGCTCATGGCGGCAGCATCACCAGCATCAAGGTCTGCCCCAACAGCCGCGTCCTGCTCAGTACCAGTGCAGATGGAGGCATCATCCGATGGAAGTTCCCTCACCCCTCTTCTTAAATCAGACCTTTACTCTTTGTTCTTTGTTTTATAAACATTGTTGCTTGACATCTCTGATGTTGTAGTGAGTTCACGCTCAGAGGAAGATAAAGGAATTACCAACAGTGGTGGTTTGATTCATGTATTCAGACCCTTTTAAATAACTGTTTCAGGTCAGCTGAGGATGTGATGGAGTTTAGGGGGTTCCTGTCCTCTCTAAGGCCCGTAACAGACGTGTCAATAAAAGAAAACCACAGATGAACAGTGCGTGGTGTTGGGCTGCACGGCAAAACGACATGATGCTGGATAACCCATTTCACACACCCATGGACGTAATTTTCACTTTAGAAGTGGGGGGGACACGGGGTGGGGGTGGGGGGGGGGGGGTGTCTTTACAGTATGCTCTAATGGGAAATGGGCATCAACACAAACGGTTGTTTTCTGCTTGGTCCTAGAGCTCAACCAGTGTCAATTTAATGTAGCGTAATATTGTTTTTGGATGGTAAAAAGTGCAGGGGTCAAAACTTGACTTTGGAAAAAGTGGGGGGGACATGTCCCCCCTGTCCCCCCCCAAAATTACGTCCATGACACCGACATTCCCCGGTCACACGGAACTCTGGAGATCAAACATAACTTTGAAGTAAAAACACACACCAGAGGAGGAGCATGAAGCGTGCTTCTGTCACCTCACTTTCTGATTGGCTACGCATAAAATTCCACTGGCAGCCAGTTCATTTGCCCTCGACGTCGAACCAGGACTATCAAACACGCTGAGAACGGAAACAATTACATTTTTCTTAACGAAAGGCTTGACTACCTCTGTCTGCTTGTGTCTCAAAGAAAAGTCCAAAGTTGATGCCAAAGATGTTCCTGAGCCAACGCCATCTTTGTAGTTTTCTCCGTCACAGCTCTTGTGCTAAGCCCAGTCCACATCTGTCTACAAGCGCTGTGATTGGCTCGACCTAAAACTGTTTAGGCCAATGGTAGACCTGCTGAGGCTACAATGGAGCGCGGCTCGCCCGACCTGCAGAAAAATATCTTTTGCTGCTGCTACAGCTGTAGTAGTGTGAGGTTAGCAGGGCGGCCTGTCTTGTTCCTGGGAATGTGTTTAACCCACGACATGAAGAATCATCACATGAAAGGGTGGAAAGTTCAAAACAATGATTTATTGCAGGAATCTAACAAAGTGTCCCTGGAATAGTCCCAGATTAGCTGGAGCCAGAGAGAGTCCAAAGTTCTGCAGGTGGAGGAGGTCGAGGAGGACAGGTGGGGTGAAGGAGTGAGTCCAGGAGAGGGAGCCAGGCGGGGTGGCAGAGGATAAGAGGAGAGGCGAACTGTGAAGTCCAGGTAGGTAATGGTTCTTTCCAGGTGAGTAATCCAGTACTGGTTCTGCTTCTCGGATAGAGGATCAGATCCAACAAACCCAGAGCGTCAGGGACGGTTGTCCAGGAATCCTGGAGAGAAATACAAACTTGAGTCCAAAAAGATCCAACACAAGAATCCAGGAATCATCCAAAAATTTCCAATAACTAACAGCAAATTATCAGAGTAGAACCCAAGCATTATCCTAGAACGAGAGGCCAGATACTACCGTGAGTAGCTAATCATCCAGCGAAGTGTAGTAGTTCCCTCTCCTCTTAAATAGAGCTCTGCTGCGGATGACCTGAGGAGCTGCAGCTGCCGCTGATTACTAATGCCCCGCAGCTGGTGAGCTCCCTCTCCTGAAATGAAGAACTCAAAGATGTTATAGAGATGGAGGAGTACTCACCCCACCACACAACACGGCCATCCAACCTTTCCTGCTGTTTGGTCTTTACGATTAGAGGAACTGCAGTCATGCAGATTTATTTCTTCTGCTTCCTCTAAAATTATTATTATTTTAGCCAAACAGGCACTCTGGTATTGTTTCTTTAAGTTATGGTATCTAGTCGCAAGTATGTGAAACCACATTGTGGGAGCAGCAGATTGACTTCCTCTGTGGGTTGTAACCTCTCCACTTCTGCTCTACCTGAGGCTATTTTTGCTCGACACTGAGAGATGGTGAGGAGTGGAACAGGATCGTCTATTTCTGTTCTGGAGACATTTGGATTTGGGAGACAACTGTTAACTGAATCCTGGTTTTACTTTCCCACCCAGCAGTGGAACTTGAGAAGATCTTATGTACCCAGTTATTTGTCTGGGGAATCCATTTTCTTCTGCTTGTCCAAGGTGTGGAGGTAACTGATCAATAGGTGACATCAGTTCCTTCTGATGGGACATTTAATCCTTCCATCTAGTTCTGGGTCTCCCTTGGTGCCTTTTCCAGGTGGGAAACATCAGCATGAAGCAAAACTCCCTCAAATGACCAACCCAGCTCACCTGACACCTTTGAATGTGGGGCAGCAGCTCTACTCTGAGCTCCTCCTAGATGATGGAAATCCTCATTTTATCTCTAAGGCTGGACAGGTCGTGGTTTGTTTAGTCCTGATCCAGCTTCATCTTTCCGCTCGGCTCCGCCTCCACCACGTCAGACAGGAACAACGGCCTCATCTTGCAGACGGAGCCTTGACCCATCGGCCTATTTCTTGATCAGTCCTCCCATCACTGGTGAGGAAGACCCTCCTCTGCCTGGGGAGAAGACTTTCAACCTGGCTTCTTCACACTCTGCTGCACACCACGGTTAACACTGAAGATGGGTCATGGCTTCAAGATGCAAACATGCTTACAACATTGTAGCACCGTTTAGGAGAAATGTGGAGTTAAATAAAAACAAAAACGGGAACATTGCTACGGGAAGTCCGAAAAGAGCTGATTTAAAGAGCAAGTCACCCCCAAATAAACTTTTTTTTGCTGATAAACGAAATAAACGAGTGTCTAATCGTGCTGCAGACACGTGTCGTCAATAATTTAGCACTTCAGTGCATCTTAGTTAAAATTTAAATATTCTGCCTAAAACTGGCAGTGTTGTGCCGTTGTCAGGTAAAAACTCTGCACTGTATTCTAATTTAAATCTGCCACCGCTATTGGCTAAGAAGTATGCTATGATGTAAACTGGTACATTATGATGTCACAATGCTGTCGTGAGCCTGAGTGTGTGTATTTGTTAGCGGCTCCGCCCTCTCGGTCTGCCAGGCAACAGCATGTGTTGCATTTTTCAAACATGAAGCGGGAGTGGAGTTAGACTCTGGTAGGGGGTGACTTGCTCTTTAAATCCTGCGTGAGCCAAAGTGGGACAGTGAATGTTTTAGGCAGAGTCTAGATTTAATATTGCTCTCACTCAGATTGTTGAAGTTTATGTCAAGTTCCCGAGCCGAGGTGAGTGACACCATCTCCACTCTAACTGGGATTGAGCTGATTTCCCACAGGTGAGGAGCGGAGGAACTCGGGTTTAAACGGAGGATGGAGACACCTCACTACGCCGGATGATTGCACCAGTTTGGGTAGCCCCAGCCACTTGTTCTTGTACTCGTTTGCTCGCTTTGACTCGTTTTTGGATACGTGGATTTTGACCTCAGACTGTATTTGTGGATTACGTTTTGGATTACCCCTTACGTCTGGTGTTTGTTTCCCTTCCCTCAGGATCCTCACACAACCTGCTTCACCCTCGCTGTCTTCGTACTCTGGATTTCGCACACCACGTCCCATCCTCCGTTGTTCCTGTTTGGTCCCTGTCTGCTACCTCACCCATCCCGGATCGCTCACCCTCTGCCCAGCGCTCACCTCGGCTTCCCCTCCTCCCTCGTTCACCCTGAGCGCTACACGGATTTGAGCTGCACCGCTCACTCCCACAGGACTTCCCTGTGCTATTTTTGTTCCCGTTTTGAATAAAGACTTTTTCTTTTACTCAACCTACCCGACGAGTCTGATTCTGCATGTCTTGGGTTAGGCACTTACCTCGAGTCATGACAACGTATGATGAAAAACATCCTCCAGTGTTTGCTGTGACGATGACATCCACAGTGGAGCTGTGTTTTTTCACTTTGTTTGATCATCTGAAGCTGGAATCAGAATAAATGCTCTATTAGTTGTGATTCTTCTCACTTCCTCTTCTCCTTTTTAACTGAGTTACGAGCAGTGGGGTCTACAGGAGTGTTGCTACAACAGAAACCTTCTACTTAAAAACAAACCCATGAATGACTATATTGTTATAAATGTGTGGCTCCTCTCAAAAACACTGGAAACATTGAAGGTTTCATGTTAGTTTGCTCATCAGCTTGTCAGACATTTTCGCTTTTCCCAAAAACATCTAGGAGCATCAGGGAAATTATGGGAAATGAAGTGAATGCTCACCTGACTATCCTCCCTGTTTAAATAACTCAGCACATCTGGTCCACTAAACTCAGTCTTTGGTGCTGCTGAGCTGTGAACTGAAGCTTCAGATGATTAGGATGCTTCTGAATTCTGCATAAAAGATGCAGGATCCATATTAAGTAGCCCATAAAATGTCTGTCTGGAGCTGGAACAAAAGGGTCCATTTTAGCAGCTTATGTGTGCTTGTTGTGCAGCAGCACTGGTGTGCATGAACACCAGGCTACTTCTACAGTATAATATGTGAATGATGCTGTGAATCATGCAAGTGGCCATCTGATCACATTTAGCTTATAATGCTAAAATAATCTTAAGAATCAAATATAAAAAAAAGATGAAGTCATATCTTAATGTACACTACCGGTCAAAAGCGTTAGAGCGCCCCAATTTTTCCAGTTATTTGTTGCAGTTTAAGTCATTCAGGTCCAATGAATAGTGTAGCGTCATGGATGTCCTGTTTTTGACCTAGAGGTCATGATCTGCTGCGTCTGCTCGAGCAGAGACATAAAGTCTCTGACGGGCTAATCTACACGAGATAGTGGCCAAGGTCTTTCATGCACTCTGCTCATCTGAACTGCTTCACCGCTGTTACAGCGAAGATGAAGAACTCTCTTTTGGTAAACACATAATAAACAACTTTGTTATTACAATAATAATGTGAGCCCAATGTTCAATCAATCTGTGAAATGACAATGTTATTACTTGCAATTATGATCCTGTGATCAGTCGTATTTTACAAGTTATAATCTTGGACATTTTCACTAGACACTAACATTCACTCCCACTCAGAACTAACTGCTTCTCCAGATCCGCTGATTCTGAATAACATTCCTCACACACTCCATCGTTCATTTCACGTCTCACTCCACCTTAGTCCATCAGTACACAGAGTGTTAAAGTTAGGCCCTGTCCACACGTAGCCGGGGATCTGCCAAAACGTAGATATTTTTCTACGTTTTGGCCTGTCATCCACACAAAAACGGATCTTTTTAAAAACTCCGGCCAAAGTGAAGATCTGTGTTTTCTCCGTTTTGGGTGTCTGCGTGTGGACGGACAAAATCGGAGTTTTAAGGTCCGCAACGTCACTTTCCGCGACAAAAAATGCTGACATCACGTGTGCGACCTGTGTTTACACTAGCCGACAGCATGGATGCCCTCAGAGCTGCGCTCGCTTTATCAATTGTCCAAGCGCTTTTTGCTTGTTTGTTTTTGCAAGAGGAATTACTGCTCCTAGCGGAAGACCACAGACGAAGGAAGAGGTTAAGAACGGGGGAAGTACTGCCGCCTACAGGTCTGGCATGTCCTTAACAACGTATTGATCCGGGTACGTGTGGACAGAGTTTGTTTTTAAAACGAGGCGGTGTGGATGCAAGTTTCTGGAGGGGCGGATATTCGTTTTTTTAAAACCCGGCTACGTGTGGACTAGGCCTTAGTCTTGTTTAAATTGTGTAGAAGGAAATTTCTTAACCATTTTAAACCTGACTCTTTCCTTGGAGTTCATATGAGGTGTCACTTAATCCCTGCAATAAAAAGTTCCGATCTTCTGGTTAAAATATTCAAAGATCCATCAGATTGATATTCCATATTTCTATGGAATCTCACATTTTATGGTTCATAAGTAAGATGTAAACGACCCATCCTTTACAATAGCTTGAAATGGTCCAAAGTTAAGTGGTGAACTGCCAGAGGTTAAAAAAAGGGCAAGGTTACTCAAAACTGAAAAATAATGTACATTTCTGAATTATACAAAAAGGCATTTTTCAGGGAACACAACTGTTCTGCAGCAATGGAGGTTGATCAAGTCTTGAAAGCTGGTGCTACTAATTCCCGCGTGTTCCAATTTTTCTGGATTACTTCCAACCCCCTCTGTCTGCATAAAAGCAGTGTTGGAACATACTTTGGTACCACACCCTCGTGAGCATCAGTTGAACAATATTGTACTGCAGATAATATTGTGTTGCTCATGGACGTAATTTTGGGGGGCACTTTTTCCAAAGTCAAGTTATGACCCCTGCACTTTTTATTATCCAAAAACAATATTACTTTATATTAAATTGACACTGGTTGAGCTCCAGGACCAAGCGGAAAACAACCGTTTGTGTTGAAGCCTGTTTCCCATTGGAGCATACTGTAAAGATACCCCCCCCCACTCCCACCCCGTGTCCCCCCCCCCACTTCTAAAGTGAAAATTACATCCATGGTGTTGCTACAAAAATGGCGAGAAAAGGGCAATTAACAATGGAGAGAGACAGACCATCACTACAGTTAAAAATGTAGGTCTTTCCTACAGAGAAATTGCAAAGAAAGTCGAGGTGTCGGTGAGTAGTTTCCTTCACCATTGTAATAGTTGGTAAACTGAGTGCTTTAAGAGCTCAATTAATTACCTCTACTTATGACCGATAAGCTGTGATATTCTATATAAATATAGAATATAAACCTGTTTGGTCTTTGGATGTTTAATCAGAAGATTCTAGGATTCTTTGTTTATTAAAGGGGGGGGGGGGGGGGGGGCTCTCGAGAGCGGCCCCCCTGGACCAGCGTCAGGGGGAGGCCCGCTCAGGAGCCCCTGGGAAGATCTGGATCCGGCAGGTGAGGTTTGGGTTTAACAGCAGGACTCGCGAGCCAGGCGAGAGGTGAGCGGAGGGGAGGAGGAGGAGGAGGCGGAGGGAGGACAGGCTGGCAGACAGGTGCACTCCCGTGCCTTGATTTCATTTCCTCTCGGTCCCGCTCAGTGGCGGAGTCGCCATGGACACCCGCAAGGAGAACAGGGCGAGAAAACAGCCGACCAAACCCAAAACGTCGAAGCGCAAAGAGAAGAAACACAAGAACGGCCGCTTCGTCAGGAGGAAGTCGCTGCGGTCTTTAGGGAATTTTATGGCAAGGATCCTGAAAACTTTGGGCACTTTAGCGCACTCGGGCGACGCGGAGCCACCGGACGCGGAGGAGGACGACGGCGGCTTCGAACGACCCGGCTCCTCGGGACAATCCAGGGACGACTTCTTCCAGAGCTCCAGGGAGAAGAAGAAGAAGAGCTCCGTGGTGTCCTCCTCCTCCCGCGGCTCGGTGAGGGACCGGCTGTCCTGGTGCTACGGCGACAAGACGCCCGGCGCGCTGGGGCTGAAGAATCACGGCAACACCTGCTTCATGAACGCCGTGGTCCAGTGCCTCAGCAACACGGACCTGCTGGCCGAGTACCTCGGCCTGGAGCAGTACAAGTGGGACCTGCGCCGCGCGGAGGCTCGGGAGGAGGATCCGCGGAGCTCCGGGGGAGAAGTGACGGAGCAGCTGGCGTCGCTGATCCGCGCGCTGTGGACCCTGGAGTACACCCCGCAGCTGTCGGTGGAGTTCAAGGTGAGGACAGACCTCCGGGTTCGCGCGGTGTTATCACCTCAGACAGCAGCTCCAGCTGGTTCCTGCTGAAGACGGCGGCTCAGCCACGTTTTACACACCTGGGTTTAGTAGGTCGCTGCAGAGGAAGTCCAGTAAAGCAGATGAGGGGTCATCAGAGTCCACCACACCTGCTGAGTTTCATCATAGTTGTGTATAAATCTGATTTCCTCCTTTTCTATAAAGCACTGGTTGTGATTCTGGGCTTCAGGCCGATACCGATTTCTAGTTCTTGTACAGGAAGGAAGATAATTATCAGAATTTTAAAAACAAGTTTAACTTGAAATGTTTCGTTCTGTAAGATAAAACCTCAACATGCCGGATCTGTTGGCTCTTTTTTCAGTTCAAGTAGAAAATCAACATTTAAACAGGCAGATTCCTCCTGGTCCTCTTTTATCTCTTTTCTAAGGCCCTGCCCACACGTAGCCGGGGATCTGCCAAAACGTAGATATTTTTCTACGTTTTGGCCTGTCATCCACACGAAAACGGAGTTTTTTCACACGAAAACGGATCTTTTTAAAAACTCCGGCCAAAGTGAAGATCTGCGTTTTCTCCGTTTTGGGTGTCTGCGTGTGGACGGACAAAACCGGAGTTTTAAGGTCCGCAACGTCACTTTCCGCGACAAAAAAATGCTGACATCACGTGTGCGACCTGTGTTTACACTAGCCGACAGCATGGATGCCCTCAGAGCTGCGCTCGCTTTATCAATTGTCCAAGCGCTTTCTGCTTGTTTGTTTTTGCAAGAGGAATTACTGCTCCTTGCGGAAGACCACAGACGAAGGACGAGGTTAAGAACGGGGGAAGTACTGCCGCCTACAGGTCTGGCATGTCCTTAACAACGTATTTATCCGGGTACGTGTGGACAGAGTTTTTTTAAAACGAGGTGGTGTGGATGCAAGTTTTTGGAGGGGCGGTTATTCGTTTTTAAAAACCCGGCTACGTGTGGACGAGGCCTAAGAAAATGTCTAAAATGTCCCTTTTTCTAATGAAATGGTAACTGGGTTACATCATTAATGCGTTGGCAGCTTTAGCCTTTCAGGTGACACCAGCAGACAAAAACGCTGTTTTCTTTAAACACTTAGGGGCCCTTTATTAGGCACTCCTGCTTAACTTCTTATAAATACAAATATTCAATCAGCCAATCACACGGCAGCAATTCAGTGGACTTAGTCATCTAGACGACTTGTTCAAACGGCACCAGAATGGAGCAAAATCTAATTTCTTCCCATTTCTGTTGAGATTAGAGACTTTGAAAATGACATGGATGTTGGTAAAAGGCAGGACGGCATGATTGTTTAAGAAAATGCTCGTCTACTGGAATTTGAACCCACAACCATCTGTAGGGTTTACAGAGACTGGTCAAACTGGTTCTACATGACAGAAAGGCACCCTAGCTCTAATAACCACTGGTTCCTAAGGTCTGCAGAAGAACATCAGCTGCAGATGGACTCCTGTTCAGTCACTGGATCGCTACACAAATCTGGTTTAATCACCACAGCCTATTGTTGCTGATTATGTCCATCCCTTCATGACCACATTGGCCCATCTTCTGATGGCTACTTCCAGCAGGATCATGCACCATATCATAAAGCTCAGATAATCTCTAACTGGTTTCTAGAACATGACCATTAGTTTACTGGACTCTTAACAACCTCCACAGTCACCAGGTGTCAGTCCAGGCCAGAATCTTTAGGATGAGGTGGAACTAGGGCTGGGCGATATGGCCTAAAATCAATATCACGATATATGGAGGATTTCGTCTCGATAACTATGCTGCGATCTGATCACATGATCGGAAATCGCTCCAGATCACGTGTTTTTGAAAGAATATGAATCGGGAGGAAAAAAAAGGGGGATTTAATCTTTTAAGACAACAAACACAACTTTTTAAATTTATCCTGAAATAAAGGTTGTCAAATTGAATAAAAATGGCTTAGTTTTAATTTCAATAAATCCCTCTACATCAATAATATTTGTTTCTTGTAATAAAAACAACACGGTAACGTCACACAATTAGTGGCTGGCAAGGACTCGGACACCAAGTGCCGCTGCTAGCAAGCCTGCTAGCACAGAGCTAACGTGTCTCCTCAGGAGAGCTGAAATATCTGCAGCTTGGTGATATTTTAAACCGGACAGTAAAGGCTGAGCTACAGACTCTTGTAATGTGTGCAAACTGGGCATTCGGCGTGCCGGTAAGGACACAGCTCCATGATTCGCTGCCTTCGAACAAGTTACTTTCGCTGTTGGTTTTTCCCTTCGAGCATCAACAAAGCAAATCACCGGTCTCCATTAATTCCCAGTTAACCTTAAACAGTCACAAAAACGCGGAGCCGACCGACAGAGAAAAGTTACGCTAATGAACAAAGAGAAATTGCCAACAGGCTGCAAAACATCGGGGTTTCTAGTTCTCCTGCAGCACTGGCGCTCATTACGCCCTTCGGCTGGCTGGACGCTGTTCCCAGTTAACGTTATGGATATCCGTCCGCCATACGCTGTTGACACAAATACAAAGTTTTTCTAACTTTCAGTACCTCTACCTGATCTTGACCCAAAGAAAAGCCCAAGTCTGAATAGTCCAGAATTGATGCCGAAGCTGTTTAAAACGAGCCGTCGCCATCTTTGTTACGCTCAGTCGCAGTAACATTCCGCCCACCAAACGGATAACTGTGATTGGCCAGGCACCTGACTGATGGGGGCTGCAGAGGTTCCAATGGAGTGTTGCTAGACCAACATGCAGAGCAAAATCAATTTTCTCCGACAACTGTCGGTCTAGATTTCCAGGCTAGACTAAGATGGCTCTTCAGGGAAAAGAAGGTCAAACCCGGTGCCAGTAAGGTGCACCTAAAAAGTGGCGTGCATGCGCACATGAGCCACCACGTTGGACTCTAGTGTGTCACGAGTGATGACAGCAGCAATACAAAGTGAACTTAGGAGATTTATCCTACCTTCAGTGGCGGCTCCTGAAATGTTTTTCCGCAGGTGCTATGAAGGAGGTGGTCATGCGTACCTATTGTTCTCTAAAACACCTTCAACACTAGCAGACACATGCGTGCACAACACCTCAACAACACCTGAAACAATCATTAATAAACATCATAAACATGTGAACAATCGCTGACTTTTCCATGAAATCATAAACACATACAGCCACACAGAAAACCATCTATAGCAGGGGTGTCAAACTTGCGGCCCATGGGCCGGATCCGGCCCGCAAGCGGGTTAAATCCGGCCCGCGAGATGGTTGTGTAAACTTTATTTTCATACTTTACAATGTAGAGTGAAAATAAACTTATCTTTGTGAGCAAGTTTTCTCTGTAATGAGTATAAATAAAACAAAGCTGCACTCAAGGCTCACACAAGAACGTGAATCACATCCTGAAGATGGCCGCCACTCAGGATGAGACTTCTGATATCGATGTGCTGGTGAAAGCTAAAAGATGTAAAGTAAAATGAGTCAAATATGAGTCAAATATACTTTAAGTGCTGCATGTGATCTGTAAGCTCTTTGGAATCACTAAGGAATGTTTTTTTATTTGTTGATTTTTTTATTTTTTCAAATTTTCAAGTACACTTCAGGTGTTGTACTTGTACTACACTGTCCTCAGGCCCCAGCCTCGTTTTATATTGATTGTATTAAAACAAAGAAAACAATCTGAAGTTTTTTTTTTTATTTACCGGTCCGGCCCACTTGGGACTAGATTTTCAACGTGGCCCCTGAGCTAAAATGAGTTTGACACGCCTGATCTACAGTGTAGCAAGGTTAGCTAACGTTAGTGTTAGCATTTCCAGCGGCGGTTGAGGGTTGACTCTCTTCATCCAGATCCGTAGGTTTTTGTGGGTCTGAGATCACTTCCAAACATTCATTAGTTTCTGACTGAACCCGTGGAAATGTGGTTAACAAACACCGATCCATTTTACCACTAGCTCTACCTTTCACTCATGGAAAATGAGGTCAAAGGTTAACATCAATTTCCTGTTTAGGTTTAAGTTTTTACTATCTATGTGATACTTTACTGATTATTTTTGTTTTGTATGTTAAATATTATCACATCCACACGTTAAATTAACATTAAATAGTAAAAAAAATAAAATCTAATATTTACTTGGGGGTGCAATGACTAATCCAGGGGTAGCTACAGTGCCCCCTAGCGCCCCCTGGCACCGCCACTGCTTACCTTACATGTGTTGTTTTGAGGCTGAATGTGATTAGTTGGTTGTGGAGTTTGAGGAAGTGTGTGTAACTCATCCATCAATAGAAAGACACCATCCTCCCCTGGTTTAATTATTCACACACATTCCTTTCAGGTGACTCTAGCCGGCCGGGCCCAGAAGAATAAAACAGCTCTTTTATGGTGTGAGTGAAGAATGTGTCTCCGTGTCTCTTGTGTCGGGACGTTAGCAGGACACGGGAACACGTTGGGTTCTGGTTGGTCCAACAGCAGCCACATGTCTCACTCCGAGACCGGCTGAAGAAATATTCCAGTGGGAAGTTTTCAGTGGAAGAGACAAACATTTATCATTAGAGGCTTCCTGTTGTTACAGTTGACATGCCACCTAGTTACTGATTACACTCAGGCTGTGGTTTCCCTTACCTGTTCACACTCAACAGGTGGCTTGTCTGCGTTCCTGTTTGTCAGGAAGACGAGCATCCTTATCTGACGTAAGTGATCAGTTAAAAGTAGGCAACACCGCAGCGACACGTTAAGATGTCCAAACAACAAAAAAGGCTCCGTGCTGACGTAGAAACTCGTATCGGCTGTAAATCAGAGCAGTTGGGACTCCAGTCAGATGAAGGTGAGGCAGCTAGCAGGAGGGGAAACCTGTTGGCCGCATCAGCTGATGGAGCATGTAACTAGCCTGGCAAGCCAGACTAAATAAATGTATTATTTAGTCTGGCAACGCTCCATTGACGGTTCTCGGTTGTGGGGCGGGTGAATGTGACATACTCTTGTTTCACTCTATTGCATAATCCCACCCACCAGGCATGTGGAGTGCCCTGATTGGCCCACAAAGCAGATAAAGCTCTGTGATTTGTTCACTAAGCAGATAGAGCACTATGATTGGCCCACCATTATGGACCAATCACAGCTCTTTATGTGTTTGAAACCCCTCTAGAGAGCTGTGATTGGCCAGCCAGAGTGCTGTTGGGGGCTGCAGAGGTTCCAGTGGAGCGTTCCTAGACCAAACTTTGCAAAGCAAGAATTTGGTCTAGTTCACTAGGCTAGCATGCAACATGTTCAGTCTGCAAAGGAAGAGAGTTGTTTATGCACGGGCTGGCGTAAGGTTCTGGATAGCCTGAGCTAAAACACCCAACAACGTGTGAAGATTTGTATAGAAACACAGCTGCTATCGCTACTTCTGCTCAGATGAAACTTCTGCTGCAACACTGACAAGTCATATTAAACAACAACATATTATATAGCTATTGTTATTGGCTGTGGTGCTCCGACACATTTAGGATAATGAGCCACTAGCTAAAAATAAAAGATGAGACAGATTTTAAATCGATTTTCATTAGATTTAATATTTTAAAGATCAACAATGTTCACCGTTTGTTGGACAGGTCAGCTGCTATTGTGGAGCACTCTTTGGTTGTGTTTGTATGACACGTGACGAGTAATGTTTACATCAATATTACTTAGTTATGGTAAAGATTGGAAGCCAAATTAGAAAATTATATTAAATTAAATGGAAGAGGTGGGTTACAACTTCCTCCCACTCATTTTCAGATATGTAAATTCATTATTTAATTCAAAGTTTCTCCTTTTTTATTCTACTTGCATATTTTGATCATTGTTTTTTTTTCTTTAATGTTTCATTTTTGAAATAAACGTAAACTAAGGTTGAAATTGATTTAACTAAAGACATGCCATTTTAAATTCTTAACCTTCTGGGGAATTCTCCTCATTGCCATGCATAGTTGACTGACAGCTCCCAGCAACAGAGAGGGGACCCTGCTCCACAGTTAGAGAAATTTAAATATCAGGAATAAAATGAAAATGTGATTGGATTCAGCCAAACACCTCTTTGAGATCCTGTAGTGTCATACAAGGACAGTGGCTTGTTGCACTACAACCTGTTTTTATCATTCAGAGAAATTATGCTGATATTTTACAAAAAAAGAAAGAAAACTATCTTTTATTTAGCGCCTCTCAAGATAAAAATCACAGAAAAAATAATTAAGTAAAAAGATTTCTTAAAACAATTAAAAATAAGTTAAAAATGAGAGAAAAAAATTGTGATAAATAAATATGTAAGGAAAGGGAGAGAGAAAAATAATAGGAAGGCGGGAAATCAGTGGATCGCAGGGAAAGGTGGAACAAGAGCATAATAAGGAGAGGATGGCGATGAAGGGCACATCAAAGCCAGCTTAAACCTAAGTTTTAGATGCTTTTTAAAGGAGACCACTGAGTCCACTGATCTCAGGCTCAGGGGGAGAGAGGTCCAGAGTCTGGGGGCCACAGCAGCAGATGATCTGTCACCTTTGGTCTTTAGCCTGGTGCTGCACAACCAGTAGGCTTTGATCACTGGACCTCAGGGACCTGCTGGGGGTGTAGGGCCTGAGAAGATCACCAATGTAAGATGGTGCTTGTCCATGTAAGGCCCTATAGACCAGAACCAGGATCTTGAAATGAACCCTGAAGTTGACTGGCAGCCAGTGAAGCTGGAGGAGAAGCGGGGTGATGTGGGTGTGTTTGGAGGACTTGGTCAGAAGCCGAGCACAGGTGTTCTGAACCACCTGTAGACGGTTCAGGGAGGTTCTGCTCAGACACGTGAAAAGAGAGTTACAGTAGTCTAAGCGTGAGGAGATGAAGGTGTGGAGAACTGTCTCAAGTTCAGAGCGGGACAGAATGGGACTCAGCTTAGCAACGTTCCTGAGATGGAAGAAGGAAGAGCGAACAACAGAACTGACATGAGAATCCAGGGTGAGAGCTGGGTCAAAGGTCACGCCAAGATTCCTGACAAGGTTTGGTGTGGGAAGCAAGCTGACCAAGAGAGTCTCTGACTTTGGGAACCAGCTTGTCTGGGGCACAGATGAGGATCTCAGTCTTATCTTCAGTCAGCTGAAGAAAGCTCCCACCATCCAGGTTTTGATAGAGTCTAAGCAGGTGTGTAACAGCTGCAGCTTAGACATCTCATGGGGTTTAAAGGAGATGTACAGTTGGATGTCATCTGCATAAAGATGGTAGGAGATTCCTTTGAAGGAGCTCAGGACGTGCTGAAGAGGAAACAGATAAAGGAGGAAGAGCAGAGGCCCCAGCACAGAACCTTGTGGGACACCATGGGTGAGGGAGGTGGTGGAGGACCTAAACTTGGAGACAGCCACAGAAAAGGAGCGCTCAGAGAGATAAGAGGAGAACCACTCCAGAGCAGATCCTGGTAGGCCTACCCAGTCTCTGAGCCTCTCCAGTAGCAGGTGATGGTCAACAGTGTCAAAGGCTGCAGTCAGGTCCAGCAGGACCAGAGCAGAACAGTCCCCTGCATCACTGTGAGTCAGAAGGTCATTAGAGACCCTAAGAAGAGCTGTTTCAGTAGAATGAGCTCTACAAAAACCTGACTGGAAGCTATCATAGATGTTATGTTCATCAAGAGCAGCTGTGAGTTGTTTAGCCACAACCTTTTCCAAGATCTTGGAGATGAACGGAAGTTTAGAGATGGGTCTGAAGCTGCTATGGAGAGAGGGGTCGAGACTCGGTTTTTTAAGAAGCGGGTGGATTACAGCGTTCTTAAAGTAAGCAGGGACCTGACCAGAGACCAGAGAAGCATTAATTATAGAGAGCACGCTGGGACCGATGGACTGAAAAGCACTTTTAAACAAAGATGAGGGTAAGATGTGGAGGGGGCATGCAGAGGTCTTCATAGAGTTAACTAGTTTGGTTAACTCAGGATGACCCGCCAGGTTGGAGTCATTATTAGAATGTATTCATTTTCAGCCATTTATTTTAGTTAATTTGTCAACATTGTTCTATTTATTTTGAACAAAAACATTTTTGATGTGAATGAAATCCAACTAATCTGAAACCAACAAAGGAAAAAGTTTAATCAGATGAAAGTGTGTCCCAAGTAAAAATTTGGTGCTGATTTCTCTTTAAAAAACAAACAATAAAATACTTTTAAAACCTTTTTTTAACCACTTAGGCCTGATGTGTTTTCTGATGAAGGAAACCATTAGGCTCGAGTCTGGGTCCAACTCTGACTGGTTAGTGAGTGTTGTAATGTAGATCACGTGTACTAGTCAGTATTCATCATGACTGACTGGAAGCCAGTTGATCCGAAACTCAAAGTTTAGATTTTTTCAAGTCTTTGCTGTAAAAAATAAAGAAAAAGCAAAATAATGCCAGAGTCAGATTGAGCCTTTGTATTTGCAGATACTTATAAATGATAGGACTTGAGTCGGTATCAGTATCTAAACATCTCGACTGGGGCGATCATAAGTAGTGCTAGACTGATCCATCAGCTGGCTGATGTCTCTTTGGTAGAGCTGATTTATAATCAGGCACATCCTCGGGCAGCCCGGTGCTGATGCTGGATTTGATTAAAATATATGTTTACGTTCCTGCTTAACAAATACTCTATAACATTATTGTCACATGAATATCTTTCATGTACTTTTTACCCGGTCTGTTTATTAATGTGTTAAACTTTGGTTAAATGTTTGATTTTGATACAGAATTAGGATTTAAGAGTAGGTGTTCAAAAACCTGTCAGATTCAGAAATGTCGTGCATCCATTGTAGTAGCGTCCAAAAATCAGCAGCACACATCGGCATGTCGGTATCGGCAAAGGAAAAGCCCACATCGGTCCATCTCTAATCCAGAGATTGTTGTTTTGCCTTTTGGTTTTCCCGGCGGCCTCGCTCATTCCCACTCTGAGCGTTGATGGCGTGCATGGCGCTCGCTCACAGAGCACCACCTGGATTCTCCATGCTGAGCTGCACAGAAAAGCTCAGCCGGACCTCCGTCTGGTCAGAGAAGCGGACTATTTTAGACCTACAAATAACATATTGTTTAAAGTAATTCTGAGCTCATAACTTACATTTCAGTTGTGATAAAAAGGATGAAATCATCAACTTCACTAGGTGCTGTGTGCACAGAACTGAGACCTCAAGCTGTTGTGACAACGGAGCGTCCATATGGAAAGCCGCTCCCATAAATCACTGAGCCATACTTCATTATAGCTACTGCGCTGAGACGACGCACAATAAAGTAACACGAGGAAAATGAGTCTGCCCTGTTTCACTAAGCATCCTTCATCGGCTGATTGTCCCTCTGGATTTATGTGCAGGAAAATACTAAATGTGGATATCCAAATGGAGTCTGGATCAGTCGTGGAGGGTGAGTTCACGCGTGGCGTACCGCACGCAGCTTCCTGTCTCTCGGGCAGCCGTCGTTGATTTTAGAGTCTCAGCTGTGAATCCTAAAAGAATCAATTTTTCAGACTCAGCAGAGCCATAAGAGCTTTTCTCTGATCCGTACAGCATTCAGAGGTGATTATTTCCATCGTCTTCTGTTCTAGTGGTCGTCTGTAAATCTCACAGAGGGGATGCCTGGGAGCAGCAGGATGGGCTACCTTCTCACTTTTGGTTTTTGGAGGGTCTCCCAGCCTCTCAGGCTCAGATAAATGTGATTTTTCATGAAAAGCAAACATGTTTCCCACTGATGTAGAGGTGAGTCCGAGGAGGAGGAGGGGGAAGAGGAGAAAGAGGAGGAGGGGGAAGAGGAGGAGGACCTCACTTCTCTCTCTCCCTCTCTCTCTCTCTCTCTCTGTGTGTGTGTGTGTGTGTGTGTGTGTGTGTGTGTGTGTGTGTGTGTGTGTGTGTGTGTGTGTGTGTGTGTGTGTGTGTGTGTGTGTGTGTGTGTGTGTGTGTGTGTGTGTGTGTGTGTGTGTGTGTGTGTGTGTGTGTGTGTGTGTGTGTGTGTGTGTGTGTGTGTGTGTGTGTGTGTGTGTGTGTGTGTGTGTGTGTGTGTGTGTGTGTGTGAAAGGGACTCAGCTGCTCCTGATCAGTGGAAGAAGTGGTTGTTACATGATACAGAAAAGAAATGAAAAATGGAACAAAGGGAGATGGAGGTTGTGTTTGAGAAGAACAAACAGATAAATGAAGAGATTCCAAGAGGAGGTTTTTAAGTCATCCTCTTGTGACAGTGTGAGTGTCCTGTCACAATGTCCCGATTGATCATGTGCCCTGGCTACTTGGCCATGGGGATGTCCCTTTGGCTGACTGGTTAGAGCGTATGACTCTCACCCGGGAGTCTGGAAATCGAATCCCGCCCGGGCCCTCGTTTATCCACCTTGCCACATTTGGCGTTGTTGGCAGGATCCATGTAGTACTGTCAAGTAGGTCCATGGATGTGAAGTTTGTGGCACCCTGCGCGGGAGCACGAGGACGTGCTTGTGGAAAGAGGGGGGAAGATGTGACAGTGTTAGTGTCCTGTCACAATGTCCCGATTGATCATGTGCCCTGGCTACTTGGCCAAGGGGATGTCCCTTTGGCTGACTGGTTAGAGCGTATGACTCTCACCCGGGAGTCTGGGGATCAAATCCCGCCCGGGCCCTCGTTTATCCACCTTGCCACACTCTGAAAACGTAGCAGCTGAGATTCCAGTCACACAGGAAGCCACACTGGATTTTTACCACTGAAGCTGTGCAGCTATTTGTTTTATCTTAGTTTACTACGTCTGTGCTGGAGCATCACTCTTGTTGTATTATTATTATTATTATTATTATTATTGTTATTATTTAATTGTAGGTTTTGTTTCTTTACTTTCTGCACAGAAACTATTACACTGCTACAGATCTTATGGTGTGTGTGTGTGTGTGTGTGTGTGTGTGTGTGTGTGTGTGTTTTGATCAGTGTTGGGAATGTTACTTTTAAAAAGTATTTAGTTATAGTTACTGATTACTTTGTCAAAAAAGTAACTCAGTTACTTACAGAGTTATGAGATTATAAAAGTAACTAATTACCAAGAAAAATAACTACTTAGTTACTTTTGCCATTAAAGAATGCAAGAAAAATGGGTTCCCCTCTTAATTGAACTTACTTAATTTACCATAAATGACTACAATAGTGAAATATGAGTGACTAATGACTGGAACATAATGTAAGTCCAAATGTTTTTTATAAACCTGAATAATTTAAATAAATAAGCACTTAACAGGAGGAACTACTAACAAGAACATTACACTTATCTAGACTGTTAAAATACACATGTAAAGGTTCCTGAGCCTTTAAATGGTCTCTCAGTCTAATTAAATTACAGAAATAAATGTATTTGCACAGTATTCAAATTTTTCCAGCTTCACATATTTGTGTGTTTTAGTAGCATTTCTGTTGCTGGTAATCTAGTAATGGTTAAGTCTAAGGAGCTTTGAAAGAAAAGCGTCTGGACTTCTTTGAGTTGCTTGAAGACGTTTCATCTCTCATCCGAGAGGCTTCTTCAGTTCTAAGGTCAAATGGTGGAGAGTCCCAGATTTAAACCTAGTGGGAGTTTCCCCCTGATGAGAGAACAAAAGACCCCCTGATGATCTTCTACATAATCACATGAAGATCATCAGGGGGTCTTTGGCGGTGTTTACAAGGACCTGCGGAACCGGGTTATTGTGAATATTCGGGTTTTAAAAGGGTTACTGGCTGCATGTAAACGCACTGACCCCTGCTGACAGCAAATTCACACCTTCCACTAGAGCAAGCCTCTGATTGGTGGGTAGAATCAGCCCACATGGGCTTAAGACAAGGATGTGTGGAATCAACCGGGCCAGCCTGGGGCCGACTGGGGCTACCCGGCCCGGGCCGACCCGGTACAGATGGGAATGGCCCATTTGATACCCAGCTATATCTGTACAGGGTTTTAGATGCTTTTAGAGCTGCTGTCTGTTGCCAACAAGCTTCATATGACTGGTTTTTACCAGAACCAGAGCTTACAGCTGTCACACTTGCCTGTTTATATCCATCTCTTCATCTGTTTGGCTCAAATCTTGTGGAAAATGTTCCAGACCTGAAAGTCATGAATAAAGGAATCCCTGACCATCCCGAAGAAACTAACGAGTCATTGATTGATTGGTGCATGAAGGGGATCAGGACCATTTAGTGAGAATTCTGTTGACTCATGATTAGGATAGTTAAAGGTGTGGCGCAGCAGCCTCAGTGCTCTTTGTTAATCAACCAGCAGCTAAAAGATGTGAGTGATAACTGAACTTGTTCCTTCTGCTGATTGAACAGCTGAAAACCGTCCGACACCGAGAGAGATTAACCAAGAAGCCATGGTGTGTTTCTGTGTAAAGGGTATAGGGCTACAACTAATGATTAATTTCAAAATGGATTAATCTGTTGATTAATTTTGTGATTAATCGATTAATAGGTTTTTGTTAATCTACAAAATAACCTGCAGCAGGAGAAATCCCAAAAGAAGTTATTATTATTTTGCACTATTATATTTTCTAAGGCTATAAAACGCATCACAATAGACTTTAAACATGTTTCTTAGACAGAATAAATGTTTCTCATATTTCTTGCTTGTTTAAACACTCTCAAAGTGAAAACCTTTGTAGATTTTAAAGCATACAAGTATAGCTTGGGATGTCCCGAAAAAACTTTTTCACTTCCGATACGATACAGATATTGCAGCCTTTATTATTGACCGATACCGATATCAATCTGATATGATATCAGTGTGGAATGTATGAAAGGCTTGATTAAGTGAAATTACTCAGAACAAGAGCCGGCAACAGCAAGTGTGGAAAAAAATGACAATTTATTCTTAACCACTGGTTGCAAAAATGTGAACCAAACGGACTGCTTGTATTGGAGAGTTTTGATGCCGTCCGATATAATCCAATTCACTGTTTTAGGCAGATATCGAATTACTTCCGATATCGGAACGGGACATCCCTAAGTAAAACCATACCAGGCTTTATTTATCCGCACCCCGCTCACCTACATCTTTATCCACGCAGTTGTCCTTTTTTGAGTGAGGAACACAGTTATGGGTTTGTGCTGTTTTTCTCTGGACGAGAACATTCTTATAAACAGACACACTAAATTTGGCAAGTGTAGGACACACACAAGCAGTAGAACACAATGAATGTTATACGCTGCAAAGATACAGTGTAAAATTGTACTCTAACAAACTCAGCGAAACAGCACAGTCACAAAAAGTGATCATAGTGAGGAACTACTATATTTCGAGTGTTTGTTTTCGTAAAACGTTACTTAGCGTATGGCTCTTCCCCTGCATCAACTCTGACATGTTTTCGTCTCAGATGTTCATTTAGAGAAGTTGTGCTTCCGTGCCTTGCTAGATTGTTTTTGCATATCTTGCAGGTCACTCATCTTTTCACGGCATCTAGAGTGAAGTGCTCCCTTACTTTTGATGTTTTTGTTTGGGTTTTATCTTCTGTTTTTCTCCTGTACCTTTTTTTGCTCCCCCATCTTACTCAGTGCATCAGCCATTTGCGTGCTACGTCATGAAAACAAGAGTACCTATTGGCTGATTACTTTTTCTACTGCTCCACTGGTAGAACGGTGGCTCATTACTGCCACTCACTGTCCGCAACTGTAACATTCAGCAGGCAGTACACCCCTTTGTCCTCTATCAGACCAAGGCAATCCAACATGTTGACTGAACTTGATTTATAATTGGAATGGTTCCCATGTGCTTCATAGCAGAATGTGACAGAATGCAGGTCATTATGCTCTAAATATAAAGCCCACTCCTTTTTAAAAAATTCTATAAAACCTTCGTCTTTAAACAGTGATGTATTAAACCTCCAGTTTTTGCTCGATGGGATTATCTCATTTACCAGAGTTAAAGAAACTGGAGCATGGTCGCTGACAACTATAGGGTGTATCTCAGTGTCTGAAATGTCAGCCAACAATGAGCTGCTGACTTGAAAATAATCCAAACAAGAATGAGAGTGATGGATGTGTGAGAAAAAAGTATATTCTACGGTTAGGATGAAGAGATCGCCATGCATCACAAAGCCCATAATCATTCAGGTACTGTTTAACTATGTTAGTGGATTGCCAATTGCACTGAGTCCCAGCTGTACTGAGCCTGTCTGTTAAAGTATCCATCCAAAAATTTAAATCGCCTCCAAGTATAAGTGGACAGTCCAAGTGTTCGGAGAGTACAGAGAAAAAATTATGAAAGAATGAAGGGCCATCAATATTTGGACAGTATATGCTGATGATACACAAGCTTTGGTTCTGTGTAGATATTTTTAGAATTATAAATCTACCCTCTGGATCTGAAACTGTGTCCAGTACTGTGAAATTGATGTTTTTGTGTATTAAAATAGCTACACCTCTTTGCCTAGTTATAGCAGGCAGAGAATATGCTGGGAAACTCAGGTGTTTTAAGTTCATCTGCGGATGTGGCAGATCAATGAGTCTCTTGTAATAATATTACGTCTGCTTTCACCCTTTTTAACTGATCAAAAATCTTTAATCTCTTCTCTCTGGAGCCAGCTCCATGTACGTTCCATGAGGCAAACCTTAGTGCACCCATAGATGTGTGTGTGCGTGAGTAGCTAGAATGTGACGCCTTCATGTGTATGAGATAAAATAAGTTACACTTATGAAATTATAACGTTTTCAAGTAATTCTTGTCAAGAAAGAAAAACTGTATTCAGAGAGTAAAAGTCTCGTCTTCTGCACGAGACCTTGGCTTTCCAGCTAAGATGAAGAGAGTCAAGAGAAGGACTTATTATGGCTCCCTTATTTGGTAACAAGGTCGTTGAGCAGTGTTTTTCTGTTTTGGAGACCAGACAGACCAGACAGGATGCAAGTTAAAAGTAAACTTCTAGTAATGTTTGATTAAATACCTGGCCTTTTGGTACGCTACACTTAGCTACGTTCTGTAGAACTTTGTTGCTGAAATTAGCAAAACACCCAGCCTATGCTCCTGAACATCTCTCCAGACATCAGGAAAAGGAATAATATGTAGTATCACGTTACATCGACTGACCAATCATAAACCTTTCTTGGTTTATCTTACTCACACACAAAACTAGCTGTTTTACAAGCTAAATAAATTCAAGATACAGCTAGCCATATCTGTCAGCTAGCACGACTCTGTCAGTGTGCCCCAGGGCAGCTGTGGCTACATTGTAGCTCATCATCATCAGTGTGTGAATGGATGAGTGATACACTGTAGTGTAAAGCGCTTTGGAGTCCTTACTCTGAGAGGCGCTATATAAGTGCGGGTCATTTATCATTATCATATCTGAAGCAAATGTTCATTTTATCAGTGTCTTCATGCACACGCCAGACCTCCAGTTTCTCAAGCTGATGAATAATAATAGTTCATTTTTCTGAGAGACTTGTTGCATTGTGCTGCTGTACACATTCCCCTATGGCACCACTGGATAGGACCAAATCATTATTATGCAGCAGGTTGTGGAAGTTCACTACAACGTAGATGTTTGTGTTTCTAGTTTGTTTTGCAGTGCATATCTTTTTTTTTGTAAGAATTTGGAGTAGTTTTTTTCAACGCTAAAAATTGTGTTAAATAATCTAGATCTCTATTTGTCAAAATAGTCACGATTATTATTTTTGCCATTAATCAAGCAGCCCTAACTCCACCATGCTCCTTATTACAACTGGTTAAGCTAAATAGTAACCCTTTGGGCCCTAGGCCTTTTTGTTTTAGAGATTTAATCGAAAACAACCTGGCCACATTTCTGTTACCATAAGGCCTTATTAGTTTTATTAGATTTTCTGTAGAGTTCTTGTGAAGATTTGATGCAAACTGATGGACAATGTTCTCCATCTCCTTCTTAGAGCATGGTGGCCAAATATGGCTCCCAGTTTAGAGGAAACTCTCAGCACGATGCCTTGGAGTTCCTTCTCTGGCTGTTGGACAGAGTTCACGAAGACGTCAACTCCAGTGTGGACAACAACAGCAGCAGTAAGGCCAAAACCAGCAGCAAGGTGGGTCTGCACACTCTACCTAAATGAGTATTTACACAGATGGCTCAATTCATACCTTCACAACTAAACAACAATCAAATGGAAATCTGCTGTCAAATGTTAATATACATTAATAGTATATATTAATATCCTCCTCCACTGTCAGGTTGTGTCTGTTTGCAACATTTGTTCTCGGTTTGTAAAAAAAAAAAAAGCAAAGATTTCAATTTAAGGAAGAACTTCAACCGTTTTTGCTAAACCCACATATTCTATCCCAAATGTCCACCTGAGACCCTGAAGAACCTGTGTGTTTTTGGTTAAATCCTCCACCGTTCACCACTTGGTCAATTATTATTATTATTATTATTTTTAACTACCAGAATTCCAACAGCGGGGATAAAATCTGAAATGGAACTGGTCTAATATGGTACCATAGAACTAGCCTAGTATGGTCCCATGGAACTGGTCTACAATAGTCCAATAGAACTGGTCTAGTATGGTCCCATGGAACTTGTCTACAACAGTTCAATAGAACTGGTCTAGTATGGTCCCATGGAACTGGTTTACAACAGTCCAATACAACTGGTCTAGTATGGTCCCATAGTATTGGCCTAGTATGGCCCAATGGACCTGGTCTAGTATGGTCCCATACTACTGGTCTAGTATGATCCCATGGAACTGGTCTACAATACTCCGATAGAAATGTTCTAGTATGGTCCCATGGAACTGGTCTACAATAGTCTAATAGAACTGGTCTAGTATGGTCCCATGAAACTGGTTTAGTATGGTCTAATAGAATGGGTCTAGAATAGTCCAATAGAACTGGTCTAGTATGGTACCATAGTAGTGCTCTAGTCTGGTCCAATATAACTGGTCTAGTGTAGTCCAATAGAACTGGTCTAGAGTAGTCCCATAGAACTAGTCTTGTATGGTCCCATAGAACTAGTCTAGTATGGTCCCATAGAACTAGTCTTGTATGGTCCCATAGAACTAGTCTAGTATGGTCCCATAGAACTAGTCTAGTATGGTCCCATAGAACTAGTCTAGTATGGTCCCATAGAACTGGTCTAGTATGGTCCTCAGACAGGTCTAGTTCTGGTCCTATAAAAGTGGTCAATGCCTGGTTCTTCACCTCCATGGTGTGTTTTAATTTTGCCTCTATTCTGTTTTGCATGGAAGGGTACACACACACACACACACACACACACACACACACACACACACACACACACACACACTGATATATTTATAGATTAATCAATGGAAGTTAGCTCTGACCCCTTTATTTATAATCTCTCTCTCTCTCTCTCTCTCTCTCTCTCTCTCTCTCTCTCTCTCTCTCTCATGCAGAAGTTCATCTGTTTGCTAAAACTGTTTAACATCCTTTAAGGATTTGGACTCACGTTTTTCCCTCACTGTTTTCTTAATCTGCAGCTATTCTTTCCTTGATTTTGTTGATAAAAATCACGTATCTCCTCTGATATCCAGTTTATTCCTCTAAATGAATTAACGAATCCTCAATAACCAAATGTAATAAACTCAACATCAGCAACATATACTTTATGAAAATTTTTCATTTTTGTGAATTAACCCTGAAAAAGTTTCCAGATTATCTTATTAAATTAGTTTTCCTTAGAATTTCAACACCTCTCTCCACAGAGCATTGCCCCATGACTGATAAGCAATAGTCCAGTAAAATATGACGACATCAGGAGGTTGCTGGAATATTCAGGTTTGCAACAATGTCTGCTGATGTGCTTTACCTAAATAACATTATGTAACACAGAAAGGCAGCTCAGCCTCTAATCAGACCTCAATAAACCTACTGAGTTTCTGTTCACACCCTGGCCTCAGACTAGGACTGTCCAACAAATCAGCTCTGTAGCTGAACTTTGGTCTCGGGTCCAAACGATCATGATAACAATAGAAATGATCCTTGAAAATTGTATTAAAAAAAGACTGCTACATTCAAATATGGTTTGCAAATATGCTCTTACCTTATCTCTCCATGCAGCCCATGTGCACTTCCTCTCTGGAAGGGTTTGACTCTAATGCATCTTCAGGTAATTCAATTCAATTAAAAAATACTCTATTAATTCCAGAGGGAAATTGAATGCTGTAGTAGCTCAGAATAATAATAATAATCAAGTCATCAAAGAGTTGTTGTATATTACAATTAAATAGTCAGGACTAGTTAAGATGGCAGAATGAGGGCAAAACACACTGCACACAAATGTGCTGCTGTTGTGCATTCTGTAGTTCTATTTAAGGGCATTAATATTGTTGGACAAAATATTGTCATTCTTACTGCCTTGCTGTTTGGACATCGTAGCGGCTATGTTTTGTTTTGTTGACAGCGGTCTTTCATCTTCTTTTTTCATGTGAATGATTAATCAAGATGAATCAAATTGAACATTTTGCATAATTAGTTGGTGTCTACATGGCTTTAATCTGCTTTCTGAATGTTCCATAAATACTTATTTTCCTCAACCTAAACATCTCTGTGGTGGTTTCTAAAGATTCTGTAAGTTTGAATTACTACTAAATGGCACGACTCTGTTTAAAACGTGAACTCTAAGTTTGGTTTGTCAGCTCAGTGAGTAATATTCATGTTCCACTATTTTTATCTTTAACATAACTTAATTCCTAACTTTTCCCAGTCACCTCAGGCCTAACATGTCTGGACAAATGTTTCTCCCATTGCATTGGGGATATGCAGTTAAAACTTCTTTCCGGAGTATTTATCTTATCCGATGGTACCATTTAGTGGCTGACGAGCATATCACACAAATACTCTGTTGCTCTGGTTTTTTAAGATCACAACTTCACATATCTGTTTATAAATGTGCTTCTGTAGCTGACAAACAGAGCTAAAACACGTTGTTTTACGAGTATTATGTTGTGTTCTTGTATATTTATATTTTAGAGACTTACTTGTCCGTGAAGCATTCATCAGCTCTGCATCAGTGTTGTATTCCATAAATTTTCCTTCAATTTGAAGCAAGTAAGCGGTAGTCTAACGCTATTGGTTAGTTCTGGTCGGCGCTCAGTTTCCTATTGCACGGAGCTCTGCGGGGCAGGGGGCGTGCGTAGCAAAAAAAAAAAAGATATATTGTTTACATTTCATCACAGTACATGATAAGAAAATCACTTTTATGAATTTTTGACAAACCATACATAATTTCCGAAAGGGGAAAACTCTGGAAACAGCTTTAAGTAGTGATATTTGTATTGTAACTCCATAGGCTGGTTATATTACATAATCAATATTATTGTACCCCACCTTTTGCCATTTGCCATGAAACATTCCGAGGGTCCGTCGGATGGTTGAACCTCAGATTCAGGAGGAGCAATGTGGTTTTCATCCTGGCCGTGGAACACTGGACCAGCTCTATACCCTTAGGGGGATCCTGGAGGGTGCGTGGTTTGCCCAACCAGTCTTCATGTGTTTTGTGGATTTGGAGAAGGCGTTTGACCGCGTTCCTCAGGGGACCCTGTGGGGGGTACTCCGGGAGTATGGGGTACCAGGTCCTCTGATACGGGCTGTTAGGTCCCTGTATGACCGTTGTCAGAGCTTGGTCCGCATTGCCGGCAGTAAGTCGGGCTCGTTCCCAGTGAGAGTTGGACTCCGCCAAGGCTGCCCTTTGCCACCGATTCCTTTCATAACCTTCATGGACAGGATTTCTAGGTGCAGCCAAGGTGTGGAGGGCATCCGTTTTGGTGGCCTGAGGATCAGGTCTCTGCTTTTTGCAGATGATGTGGTCCTGTTGACTTCATCAGAACGTGATCTTCAGCTTTCGCTGGAGCGGTTCGCAGCCGAGTGTGAAGCAGCTGGGATGAGAATCAGCTCCTCTAAATCTGAGACCATGGTCTTGATACGGAAAAGGGTAGAATGCCTTCTCTGGGTCAGGGATGAGGTCCTGCCCCAAGTGGAGGAGTTTAAGTATCTCAGGGTCTTCTTCACGAGTGAGGGAAAACTGGAGCGTGAGATCGATAGGCGGATTGGTGCTGCATCTGCAGTGATGTGGGCGTTGTACCGGTCTGTCGTGGTGAAGAGAGAGCTGAGTCAGAAGGTGAAGCTCTCAATATACCGGTCGATCTACGTTCCTGCCCTCACCTATGGTCATGAGCTTTGGGTAGTGACCGAAAGAACGAGATCGCGGATACAAGCGGCCGAAATGAGTTTTCTCCGAAGAGTGGCTGGGCTCTCCCTTAGAGATAGGGTGAGAAGCTTGGTCATTCGGGAGGGGCTCGGAGTAGACCCGCTGCTCCTCCACATCGAGAGGAGCCAGTTGAGGTGGCTCGGGCATCTGTCAGGATGCCTCCTGGACGCCTCCCTGGTGAGGCTTTCCGGGCACGTCCAACTGGGAGGAGACCTTAAGGTAGACCCAGGGCACGGTGGAGGGACTATGTCTCTCACCTGGCCAGGGAACACCTTGGGATTCCCCCGGAAGAGCTGGCCCAAGTGGCTGAGGAGAGGGAAGTCTGGGCCTCTTGCCTTAGGCTACTGCCCCCGCGACCCAACACCGGATAAGCGGATGAAAATGGATGGATGGATGGACATTTTTCGCTGCAACTAGCCTCTGTTACAGAGGACGGGTTCCTTTCCAACAGCGGCGAAGTGTTCCAGAAGAATAAGGATGTGTTTCTCACAATTTCAGTCCATTTTTTTATGCACGCCGCTTCCAGAACAACCTCTGGAGTTCAGATCGGGTCAGACAGGAAGTCAAACATGAAAGCAATGTAAAACATCTGGAAACTTTCAAAATTAGTCATGTGCAGATTTACAGTTGCTTAACTAGTCAAAAAAAGTGTCATTTCCTGTGAAACCTCTGTGGTAAACAGAAGAGAAAATAAACCAGAGGTTTTTGGGTTCATGCAGTCATTTTTCTCCTTGCTTAAGGTGCAAAATCATGTGTGGTGTTGCTATTCTCCAGACCTGCTGTATTCTGCATGTTAAACGCTCCTGGTTGGAAGTTAGCAAGCCCCCACAATGTGAGCTGCTGGCTGAGCTGAAATATTCTAGTGGCCAAACAAAGCGTGTTCTCTGCTCACATGACCCAAAGATGTATCAGATGCTGCCCCCTTGC